TACCTATTTTTCCGATTTTTTTTGAACCATATACGCCGATATCTGTCAAAAAATTGGTAAAAATATATTCTTGAATATAACTAGATTCTAATAGTTGTCAAATCATAATTTTATCTTAAATAGTAAGAGAGATAATTAAGAGAAACTAAGACTATGTCACCAGTAGGGTCCGATTATAATTATTAGAAGAATACAGCTACGTCATTTGACGAAGTAATTCATTGGCTACGTCCGCCTATACTGGGGGTTTACTGGCGTGTAAATATTATAGGAATACAGGATATATGTTTTTATACCAAATAGCTTACTTTTTCTTTATTTATTGATAGTTATAGATAATATATAATTGAAATTAGAAATAATGGTTATGACGTAGTGGTGTTCTTCTTATTGTAATCGACTTCTACCTTAGAATCGCATCTATACTGTTTCGACTCTAAACAAAATAAATAATGTAAACAAACATCGGGAAATACAATCGAATATTCAGCTGGGCCACTGTTTTACTGTTTAATTTGTATTAGTAATACAAATTCTGTAAACATACCAAGTTGAGCGAAATACTCTGATTTGTATAGAAATAGAATGTGAATTTTTAATAATGTAGGTAACATGAATTTTACATGTGTCTATATCTAAACTAGTTTTTAGTTTTTTTTTTTTAATTTTTAAAGGATCCAAATATCACTTTCTTTAATTTGTTCTTTATGGAATTTACTGTAAAGATATTTTTCGATGAATCAGGAATACGTAATATAATATGTTTTTAAAATACGACACTCAAATAGATAATACTCTTTTAGCTTTTATCTCAGCTATTTATTTTTGTCTTATATTAGTACATTAGTTTTGTACTTAATGTGGATACAGTGGATAATTTTTCTTTAGGAGTTTATGCCATTCATGGGAGGGAAGTGGTAAGTAAAAAGCTAATAAAACGATGTAAGAAAATTTTTAATTTTTAAAATAGAACATAACACAATTCTATTAATTTATTTATTGTTAAATTAATACACATTAGTTATTATCACATCCAGATATAGCGACAACCTCTGCTGGACATTGAACTTCCTGGAAAGTAATGTCGGGGTTATCGGCACCTTCCATAAATTCGAATCTAAATCTGCATCCAGGTTGTAGAACTTCCGGCAACAATTGACATTCCTCGATGGTGGAAACTCCACCGTTTCTTTCACCCCAACCGTCTTTAGGAGCATTCCATTGCGTCATGCAGCCTATGTTGTAGATTCCGACACCGCCCCCGGGAATTTGAAGATCGAATTGGTTTTGGCTGAGTTCAGTTCCTTAAAAATGCAATAAATCGTTACAAGTTCATTTTCTTCTATGATTATCTGATGAATATTAAAACTTTTGATCCCTTTACTCAATACCTACTCACCTGTGTTTACGTTTTGAACTAAAAATTGTTTTCCGGCCAATTTGCCCTTGAAGGAGAGGAGGAAACAAGCGCAGCACTTGCTAACATCTTCGCCACCTGTAAACGAAGCAGCAGACCATCCGTAAGCCAAAGTGTCGTTCACCACAATCGGTTGTTGGCTGTTGCAAGTATAAGCTACTCCTCCTTCCACACATCCGGATTGAGCGTTATCGACTTTAGTGCTGTTGGTAACACCGTCAATTTTACAGGTTTGATCTGGAATTCCGTTTTTGGTGTTCTTGGTGTTGCCGTCCCAAGCGCAAGAGGGGGCGCAACAATCCCAGTATCTGGTGGTTATACCGTCACCGCTGATCCCGTTAGGAATTAGAATTAGGTCGGGTGATGAGTTCCTAATAGCCGATGAGCTAACTGAAAACATTAAAAAAATTACATTATTAATAAAGGACAATTAACAAAAAATAACTTCACCAATAAATATTTCATATTTAACTTGTTTTTAATTAAATAAAATAATTTTACCGTAAGTTAGACCGACAATAAACAAAATCAATTTCATATTTAATTTTTTATAAAATGTTTCACAAAATAAGCAGGAGTTTATACTCCTTTTATATACTTTTTTTTATTATTATCTCAAGTAGGTACCGACGTCTTTAACTTCAGATTAATATTTTTGTTGTCAGATAATAGGATTTGATAAAAATTTTGTAATAAAGATATTTTGTTTTAATTTACGAAAAATATTTTTCTTTTTTGAAATAAATGATGTTTATATGCATTTTATGTCTTTGCTGATGCACGTTCTTGCAATGTGTACACCATAATTTATTTTTAAAATTGTAAGCAAATCAGCAAAGTAGTAACTCAACAGATTGATTTTTAATACATGAAATGATCGAAGAAACGTGATAAAAACCTCCTAAGAACAAAAAATGAAGACAAGATAAGAAAATGTTCTGATTTTTTTTTATTTTTTAGTTCGAGAGAATGTGAACATTTGATTTAAAAACGCAGTTTTGATTTTTTTGATTGTAAGCATGATAAAACAATTAATTTTTTTTAAGAATGTGATTTTTTTCATACACCGTTGTAAAGAGGCTTTAAGACCTTACAAATGAAGTATCATTCAACCCCTCTTCCCTATTCAATTTTGAGGGGTTGAAGCGCCCCCTCATAGGGGGTTGCTCGTTCAAGCCTCAAATATACGTCAAAAGATGTCCCCCAAAGAAAATCACGTGTTTCGGGGAATGTTTCCAATTACTATGGGATAAGAAATATACGAGGTGGCTCGTCTGAGATGGAACATCCTGTATACCTAACTGCTTGTGTGTAACGTAGTGAATAAAATTCTATTGAATATCTACACAGCTGGGACTCGAATAGTCGGGGTCGGCATCCTTCGGGCACAACCTATGCAAATTTCAGTGGCGTACAACTGATTAAACATAAATTTTCAAAATTTAATTACTTCCTTAATTTATTTTTTTTTAATAACATTCCACTGTAGACTTATTGGAAATATATTGCATTTGGAGGGTCAATATAACAACGGTATCGTTTTTAACAACCTCTAAAACCCTGGTACAAAATACGTTTTGTTTAACCAATTTTTTAATTCTTTATTTTCATTGGTATTGCATCGTCTTTTTTATTTGTAATAATAATCAAAGCTTATCTTATCCGCAGAATTACTAGAGTTTTTATTTCAGTAAGACTCAAATGATTTTTAATCAAAATGGAATAAAGGTCGCTACTACAAGTGTATTGGAGTGCTTCCCATTACAACCTTGATTTTAATGCAAAATTATACCTATTAACCTTAGATCAATCAATGTTTTTTTATTATTATTAAAAGATAAGTGAAGTATTAAAGAATTAATTGTACCATTACTATTCCTATTAAAAAAGCCGAAAGAATTTTCTTGGCTTTTATTTTTTTAAACAAATTGGAATTTGAGGAAATCAATAAACTTCAAACAATTTTTGTTTTCATTTTATTTTATTTATTACATTTTAATTCTGTTTTATAAAATAGGGTAAAATATTAATGGGTGCATTGTAATTAGAAATTGTTAATGGCCCCTCGTAAATACTGCCATTGTTTCCATCTTGCCTGAACCTTTCGGTAAATAAACTTTTCTTGTAACAGCGCCTTCAACTAATACAGGTGCTACCAAAATGTTTTCTCCAAGAAGGAATTCTAAAAAAAAATTGATTATATAAATTAATGAGGAAATTGGAAAATGAGAAAATTTTTATATGCATTGTTTTTGTTCATTGAATTTTTGATAAGCAATGTATAGTGTTTACAAAAAGTAATGATAGGTTGATAAAAAGACCCCGCGCTCTTTTACTCGACGGTCATCCAATACAATATGGTGGATTTTTCAATCATATCTGGGGCAGGTCTGATCTGGAATTCCGTTTTTGGTGTTCTTGGTGTTGCCGTCCCAAGCGCAAGAGGGGGCGCAACAATCCCAGTATCTGGTGGTTATACCGTCACCGCTAATTCCTTTGGGAATTGGAATTATGTCGGGTGATGAGTCCCTAATAGCTGATGAGCTAACTAAAAACAAAAAAAAACATTAATAATAAATAATGGTATTTAAATAACTTCACCAATAAATATTTTCCATGTTTAACTTAAAAATCATTTTACCGTAGCTCAGGCCTATAATGAACAAAATCAATTTCATTTTCAATGTTTTATAAAATATTTAAACAAAATGGAATATTTAACAGCAGGTGCATAAATATACTTTTATAATTATTATCTCAAGTAGGTGGCCTACGTCTTCCACTTCAGATTAAGATATTTTTTTGTGATAATAATTGTAATATTTCACATAATGGGATTTTTTAAACATTTTGTAACGAAAATATTTTCTTTAATTTGAAAAAATATGTATCCTTTTCGAAATACATTTTATGACTGTGTCAGAGGGGTTACGCATATCGTAGACGTATCCATTAAAAAGAATGAGGTTGAGGACTGTTAGATTCCGAGCATTTCACATTATTTATTACGTACGAACATTATTGTACTGTTTCATATAAAAAATGCCAATAAATTGGTAATCAAGCGGATCTTATTATCATCAGGGTTATTTAAATGTAATAAAAAATTCACAGATTTGATATATTTAAAAATAAAGTTTAATATATGTTTCAAAAGTAAAACCTCTAAAACCCTGGTACAAAATACGTTTTGTTTAACCAATTTTTTAATTCTTTATTTTCATTGGTATTGCATCGTCTTTTTTATTTGTAATAATAATCAAAGCTTATCTTATCCGCAGAATTACTAGAGTTTTTATTTCAGTAAGACTCAAATGATTTTTAATCAAAATGGAATAAAGGTCGCTACTACAAGTGTATTAGAGTGCTTCCCATTACAACCTTGATTTTAATGCAAAATTATACCTATTAACCTTAGATCAATCAATGTTTTTTTATTATTATTAAAAGATAAGTGAAGTATTAAAGAATTAATTGTACCATTACTATTCCTATTAAAAAAGCCGAAAGAATTTTCTTGGCTTTTATTTTATTAAACAAATTGGAATTTGAGGAAATCAATAAACTTCAAACAATTTTTGTTTTCATTTTATTTTATTTATTACATTTTAATTCTGTTTTATAAAATAGGGTAAAATATTAATGGGTGCATTGTAATTAGAAATTGTTAATGGCCCCTCGTAAATACTGCCATTGTTTCCATCTTGCCATGAACCTTTCGGTAAATAAACTTTTCTTGTAACAGCGCCTTCAACTAATACAGGTGCTACCAAAATGTTTTCTCCAAGAAGGAATTCTAAAAAAAAATATATATATTATAAATTAATGAGAAAATTGGAAAATGAGAAAATTTTTATTTGCATTGTTTTTGTTCATTGAATTTTTGATAAGCAATGTATAGTGTATACAAAAAGTAATGATAGGTTGATAAAGAGACCCCGCGCTCTTTTACTCGACGGTCATCCAATACAATATGGTGGATTTTTCAATCATATCTGGGGCAATGGCAGTTTTTGCCTAAATTGGGAAACCCATTTTGTAACCATTGAAATAGTGTTCAATCCAGGTCTGCTCTATGTTCATTCAATTAAATAAACATATCTTCATTACAATGTAACAGAAGACGTCAAGCGACAACTTCCCTTCGGAAAACAACTACTCCTCTGGCTACATATAACAACAGGCATTGGATTAAAAAATGGCATAAATCGAACATTATTTTAGACACCGGCAGGCATTTTCATGAACTATTATACCAACTGTCAAAAACTGTTACCATTTATTACTCTTCTGAAAACTATTTGCTTATTTATTATTTTATAATGTATTAAAAAAAATGGTTACCGTCATCTGTAGCAAACGCAGTAGAATCAGTGGGATCGATCCACCAAATTGGAGGATTTACAGGTGTTCCATTTAAAATACTTTTTTCCATGGCCTCGATGATTGTGTCTCCAAATTCAGCATGAAGATTGGCATATTTTCTAACAATCTCAACCGTATCAAACTAAAGTTGAAAATATATTTTATACAATTAAGAAAGTATACATTTTTATTATTAAAGTTAAAACTATGTACTAATAAATATTATGTTGTCTGCAATAATGTATGTTTTGTCTAAAAAATATGGTTCTTGTGTTTTGCAAACATTTAAGTGAGTTTTAATGATGTAAACAACTTTTAACCCAAGAACCCACTGTAAATTTTGGTCGTCATCTGTTAACGAAATATAATATGCATCTGTGCCAATCACTATCCTGAGCAAAGTAGTTAAAAAAATTATTTTATATTCAAAAAGTCACATAAGATATGACCAGGGGCGTCTCGTGACCAAAATTTTGGGGGTTCACAGTAGCAGAATATAGATGTCGGTACAGATATAGGTAAAAAACTGTCAGTGTTTTAGAAACGTATATTGTAAACTTTCTAAAACCCCGAAAGTTTTTTCCATATATCTGTACTGATATCTATATTCTGTCACTGTGAACCCCCAAAATTGTGGTCACAAGCCGCCACTGGATATGACAGCAATAACTTACTTTGTCGCTTGGATAGTCCCACGGCAAATAACCAAATTGCATCGCAGGCATAAGTGCATTTGCCTGTGTCCACCTAACAATCAGTTCTGCTGTTGGTTGCTGTCGGTATCCATTACCACCGATCATATCTGGTAAAACCCTAATGTAATAAAATTATGTTACCAATTATTACCAACCATTGTTTTATAATTGTCTCGATAATAGTCATACTAATTTGTAAAAAAAATGTGTTGATGGTTTATCCCGACCAATATACTTAGTTTTAAATAAATCTCTGTCTGTCGACACTAATCTCTTTAAATACTCTGAATACGCATTCTAAGTACCTATGTAACTTAAATAACAGATTTAAGATCGATTCTATCTACACTGATTTTAGTAAAGCGTTCGATGAACTAGATCACAGTTTTTTAATTAAAAAAAATGGCTGAAGTTGATATAGACAGACATTTTTTTATCTCAGCTCCCGTCGCCAGGCTGTATCCATAACTAATTATTTAATATCTTTTCTTGATCTTGATCAGTTAATGATCTAATACTGGTAGGTCACTGGTATATAGCAAATAATATAGGATGAATCTTAGAACACTACCCTACGACACATCCGCTTTTATCTCTTTCAGATCGGAGTAATCATATTCGTATTTGATTCTAAACAATCTGACATATATATGATATTAGGACATTAACGTATTGTTCTGGTAGCATTTTGCTTAGTTTATATATCAAACCTTCTTGCCATACTGTTTCGACAGCTTGTTCGACGCCTACCTCTAAAAACACTGCACAACACATTTGCTTATCTTCCAAAGCACGTTAAGAACTTTTGCCTAAATCCTAATTTACCATTTTCTATAACGGTCGCAGTCTTTTAAGAATTCGTTCCATAAAAAGTTTTAAAACTATTGGCAGAAGAGCAATAAGTCTATAGGATTTAATAATTGGGTTGGCATCATGATGAGCACGTAGGAACATGTTTCAATCTGAAGACTGCATTAATAAGGTAAGTGAGCATTATATCCTTTCTAAAAGATTGCTTCAATATCTCACCAGTTATCAAATCGAAACTGCATACTTTCTTTGGATTCAGATTAGTTTTTATCTCCTCGGATACATCTGCTCTTGGATGGGTGTAACTATATTAGTCAATGTTAAGCAAATAATTCTGCTTTTGCTGGTTATCTCTGGCCCATGGTCCGTTGTTGCTTCTATTTTCTATTAATAGCAATTAAAGTTACGGGTCTCTTAATTCTTTTTACTGCCTTTCTTTATCTGTAGAGAGTTTCTGATTGATTTACTATTCTTAGTTTTGTTATTAAGTACAGCTTTATCAGCTGCGTCTCTCGTTTTGTTGTTGCCATCTTCTTCTTGCGCCTCGTTTATGAGCTAGCAAAATTTTAATTTCAACTGGATAGTTGACACCTTTGGTTATGTGGACTTCTTCTTCAAGTTGAACAATAGTTCTTATATTAAAATTTAAGTTAATTTTATTTTAATGATCAATTTTGAACTTTCCTAGTCTGTGGTTTTATTTACAAGTGTAGATCGGTCATTCTTTTTTTACCCTCTCACTCAGTGTCAATATGACCGCTAAGTGATCTCAATCTCCTAGAAAATGTATTCGGACAATATTTTTAGTCATTATTGAATATATATAGTATGTACAAAGAGTTATATAGGTTATATTTTTAAAAATAAAAAATAGAGTGATGTGAATATCTACTTACAAAGTGTAACCGTCGATATTCATTTGAATTAATGTCGTTACCAATGTATAAAGTCCATTATCGCTTCCCCATAAAGAATCTTTGTCAATCATTCGTGTAAATAGTGGATATCCTTGTGTCCTTAAAACATAAACAAAGTAGAAAATAAAAACTATCGATTAGATTCAAATGCAGATGTAATAAACAAATGCTTTAAACGTAGTGGTTGATCTGACAATCTAGTCGGTTGGTTAATCGTTGAACATATTAATACACAGAGAGGACATAAATTATGTCCCCCCTCTTAATAAATGGTTTTTAGATGACCTTTGATATTCTTAATTTATTTATTTTAGTAAATATTATGTTTCTTTAATTTGTAGTAATTAACAATAATAGTAAGTACAAAGGTTATCAAAAATGTAACGTAAATCATTAATTTATTCAATGTAATTTCTGTAAAAATATGAAAACCTTAAAACTGTTTGCATGGATGTAAAGATAATGAAAAAATCTTTCAAATGAGGTATCACATTATATCTCTCTAATTTAACCTTATTTTTGTTATGTCTTATGTTTCCATTTAGAAGTTAAGAGGGGAGGTGCATGATTTACGTCATCACTATATAATATGTTTGAACTATTTGATTAATTGTCGAAGTGGACCATTTTTGTTTACTCTATCTCGACCATTTTTTGGTCTTGTTTCGTATTATACCGTAAATGTCAAACATTTGTCAAAGTAAATTTAATTATGTTTTTGATGAATACGGGCAGAGCTGGGTGTAACGAAACTAAAACGATACTTTTTAGTAACGTGTTGCTAAAACTATGTTTATTACCTCCATGCTGATCTAACTTCGACTAAATCTCCAAATTGTGAACAAGTTTCTACATATTTTTTAGTAAATATGTTTGGAACTTCCTCTTGATCTTTTACCCAGTCATAATCTCCTGGCTATAAATGAAAATAAAAATAGGTATTATACAGTGTAAAAAAAATCAAAAAGTATCCACGTCTAATAATATTTTGAGGAATAAAATTATAATGTGACGAATGATAGGAATACATCAGTGTGTAGAATTCAAATTAGGCTGGGTTTTGGCTTTACAAAGCCATCATCATAGAAATGTGGTCCAACGGTAAATAAGGCAAATCATTTATTTTTTTTTTTTTTTTTCGAATGGAATGACCTTTTTTACAATTATATTATAATTACTATTACCTGCCTAAAAAATATTTTTTTAATCTCATCAATATTTCTGATTTCATGCGGTAATTTTTAAATACAACAAATGTACAAAGCCAGAGGACACGATTATTTGAACTTTATTAAATGTTTATTTTGTACAAAGTAGTCAAACATTAATTTTACATTCCAATAGTTTAACCAGGAAAAGCCAATAATGAAATAACATCATGTAGACATAGACACGTCTCCCGTCTACCTGTTACATCAAAACTATTTGAGAAATTACTCTTAAAAAGACTGAATAAGATATAATTATGAATGTTATGATTGTAAATTTATTTTATTTGCTTAGTTTCATAATACAACTTACTGGTATAATATAATCTGTTTCGCCAGCATCGAATTTGAAGCCATCAAAACCCTGATCCTCAGCCAATCTTCTTATTTTACTAGCAAACCATTCTGCAGCATTTGGATTTGTGAAATCAATTTGATGAGCATCATCACCTTCCCACCATATTGCTCGAGTATTGCCTTCTGGATCTTTCACGAAATAACCTTAACAATAAATGAGTTTATTTTCGTTAGAATAGAAATATTTTAATTGAATAATTATTTATAAATAATACTCTTTGAGGAAGCAGACAAATTTGGTTTGGTGTTTAATGGTCATCGACCTGTTCAGGTTCTGTCAATGGTGTGATATTCATGAAGTGCGAAAAAATTACCCATTTCAAAAATTTTAAAACACAATTGTTCAACAACCTCTGATAAAAATTCTTTTGGACTAATTAGTGTCACCACCTCTCAAGAAAGATATCATATTCTTTGTAGTAGAGATAAAAACCTTTATGATCATCGTAGCAAAGATTTTATCGCGACTTGCTATAGAATGCGCTTCGTAAGTATTGACGAAACCCAAATTATCTGAAATGAATTAATTACTAATATTATTACTATCCATTTTACCTTTATCTAGTCCCTCTGTCGAATAATTTTGGCAATCATTATTTACAAATGGATTTATCCACAGCGTTATACCACTAAAACCTAAAGATCGTATGAATGAAGTTGTTGAATTTATATCTGGAAATTTTTCTTTATTGAAGATGTGAGATCCAAAGCAAATCTGAAATAAGTATTTTGAAAAAACATCAGTTCCCAAAAATATTAGCTATAATCTTAATTAACGTGAAACCTTTAAAACTGTATGTAAATGAGAATAATGTAGTAGTATACAGAAACTTACTTCCCAATCTTCATCAATTTCGAGCTGGCCACCAAATTTATTGTCTGCAATAGATTGAGCAAATTCTCTTACTTTTCCGTCATCAATAAACTTCTTGTACTTTGGCCATGTTGTCCAAATAGGTTCCCTTATCATTTTTTCATTGGGATGGTCTTAAAAACAAAAATGTAATTCATTTTAATGCCTAATAATTATTATATTTTATTGATTGATGTCTTAGAAATACGTCAAAATCAAAATACTAAATTCGGCACTTCTATTAGAGATGGGAAACGATATGTCTACTACTTGCTGATGAGTCCTAATAAGGGCGAAATAAGTCTAAGAAGGACAATCTCCTTAGAAAGAAAAATCAGAGCTAGAGTGTTGAACTAATTTTTTCTCTACTATTTTTCTCTGGTTATAATTCAATGACTGTCAAGGTGTATATAACCAGAGGAGTAGTTGTTTGCCGGAGAGAAACGGTCCTCGTTGATTTATGTGACAAGGACTTTGAGTGCTTCTTTTGTCATTTACATTTTGGTTACATTTGAGTATGAACTTGTTTCCTTTGTTTTTTATTTTCAATGTTTGGTTTAATAGCCTAATCATTCACAAAGGTTGGTTAGGGCCAATTCCACCATTGTGTTAAAGTTAAATTACTAAACGAAGATTTAAAATGACATTGTTAATGTAAATATGTCATTTTAATGTTCGTTTAGCACAACGGTGGAATCGGCCCTTAAATACTTAAGGAAATAGAAATCTGTGAGTATAGAAACTTCATTGCTAACTCAGAGAAAAGTACAGTTGGAATCATTACTGTAATTAGTAAATTTAAAATAAATGAGGTTATACTAGCTTCTAGAACGGCTTAGATATTATTAGTAACAACGATATATGTCTATACTGAGTCTTATTATGGTCATGATATCAAGACATCAAGGAGTCAAGACATTCAATAGTTCTGACAATGGCACTACACGGTATTTAATGCTACCCTTTTGTGTCACCGTTTTAATTTACAAAATAGCTTTACCTGTTGGCTTTCCCAAATAATTATTTACAGCAAAAAGTTGTGCTTCTTTTGAATTACTCTTGGTAATTATATCATAATTTAAAATAGTCTGAAAACAGAAATTTAATTATTAATTTTCAATGAATATAAACATAAATTCTTAGGTTTTAAATAGTTTAAATTCTAGATTTAGGATAGTCATAAAAACAAATGTCTTAGTATCAAAATCTAATAAGTACATTTGAAATTGTAACTTGAATTTTCCCACAAGAAAGTACGAAGTATATTGTATTATAATTTTATTAACTGTCTTTGAATAAAATGTTCCAATAAGGAATATACTTCCACTGTCAACCAGGAGCCTCTACATGAGCATAACAAATTGATGTTCAAGTTTTTCCAGGTTGTTATAGCTACATCCAATCTACCAAATATTCGTTACTTTCTGGTGATTAGAATACAAGACGCTACAATTGAAGTGGCTGAAACCATGCTTGAACGTGTTAAGACAATCGAATGTTGTACAAGCCAGAGTAGAAATTGAAAATCTTCTTATAAGGACTCAAGTGATGAAAATGTTACTGTCTTTCGAATAGAAGAAGATAATTCACAAAAAATACTTTACAAATATAATTATTACAGTTCCGAGAAATTAAGTTTGAAGCATATGGGTTTGGATAAAAAGAAAAAAGAAAGGGCTTCTTAAGCTAGACTATACAGAAAATGTATAGGTGAACCCATACAAAAATTGCTTTTGCAGGACACTATGAATCGACTTAAGTATTGATGACTATTTGACTTAGAGATGAGAAAATCCATAAATTCCCACTCAGCATAATAGAAATTACTATTATGATTGTGAATAAAATATTTTCAACTATACTATAATACGTACTCTTAAGTATAGGTATTTATAATCTAGAATGATTTAAATTTAGAATGTATATTTTTTACTTACCCTATTTCTGTTAATATACGGATTTTGTGATTTTGCAATAAAACAGACTGTTCCATTTTGCTCATTATTTTGATCAATAAATAGTGGTACATTGTCATGGATAAAAATAAAAGTACCTTTGCTATTTAGATAATATCTTTCTGCAACAGCAAAATTGTCGGAATTTTTAATTATGTACGGATTATTGCCATCTAAAATTAATTGTTCAAGAGGCTTTTGTACATATCGTTCAGGTCCTCCAAACCAAAAAGTTTCTCCGATATTTAGATTGTAACAATCCTTAAATGAATGTGAAGTGTTCTTTGATGTCCAGCTGACACGATACCCACTATTAACTTCCTTTATAGATAAAATAGTTTGTTCGTCTATTATACATTTCGAAAAATCATTGTTACAATCAATATTATTAAAATTTTGTCCAATACCTAAGATGCCTTGTAATGTTTTGTCACCAGCTAGAAGAAAATAATACATATATTAAAACCAATCATATATAAATTATTCTCAAAAAATGTATAAAAATATCCAAAATTATTACGAATTATTACAAAAAAAAACTACCAAATTAATTATTTATTGGGGAAAATTGAAATATAAGAGAATGCTTAACCTGCTCAAAAGTGGCAACTAATTACACTTACGTTAAGACTAACAGGATAGCCGAATGTTCCAAAAATTATGTTTAGAGATATATAATTTAGTATACGCAGCCGCATTGTAACGTTTGCTGGGCCGTATAGACTGGCAACGCTGATATTGTTTGTTTCCTGCTTGTTTTAATGCTAACTCTCTGTAGTTTTCACACGGACTTGTGCACAATGTATTGGATAGCGTTTGATAGCCAATACTGTGTATAGTATAGTAAAAAACTAATAATTATGTTTCCATGGCCTCTAGCAGAAGACAAATATTTTTCAATGAAGGGAGGGCACAATTAAATTAAAATAAGGGTAATGAATTAGCTAAAAATTATGGAAGTGTGAAAAATCAACAGCTATGTTGTGACTCTTACTTATACAATTTTTATTTACAATTTACATCTAAAAGTTCAGTAATTTGAGAAGAAATACATATATACTGATATGATACCCAGACAACACACCAAATCCCAGAGATATCCGCAGAATATCTTTTGTGGATATCCAATATATCCACAGGATATCAGAAATATTCCGTGGATCTAATATGGATATCCAAATGTCCGTCTATATCCAGGATATAGAAGATATCCTAATGGATATTCAGCAAAATATCTAATGGGTATCTTCCAGAAAATACAAGAAATCACAGAGATATCTACAGAATATATTTTGTGGATATTCAATATATCCAATATGGATATCCAACCAAATGTCCGTCTATATCCCAGGATATAGAAGATATTCGGATATTCAGCAAAATATTTTATGGGTATCTTTGATAGAGGTTCATAAGTAACCAATGATTATTGAATAACGTCGAAAGAAAATAGCAGAGATAAAAAATATTTTCAACACTCAATATATTTTCAACACTCTGCCTTTGATTTTGCCCACTAAGGAGAAAGTCATCCTTATTAGGACTTTTCAGCAATAAATGAAAATTCTCGACTCCAGTCTCTAATCGAGTGATTAGGACACACATTTCGATCGAACTCAATTACGGCGGGTCGAGCATAAGTAGATGCGATAGTGGTATCGCCATCTATACTTAGTAAGCAGAATCAAATAACATCTAGTGGATATCCACGATGGTTTGCGTTCGCGCCTAGACTTTGATATATTTAGTGGATGTTCATGAGATATTGAATACACCTTAAACAAATTAATTTTAAATATCTGAACGGTACTATTAGCCACAATGGCGAGCACAATGGCGTAATTTTTTAATAATTTTCTATATAATTACTATTATTTATGGACATTTGCATGTCTATAAATTACATTTCATGGATATCAAATAGATATCTACCTAGAAGGGATTTTGTTAATAGAAATGTAAAAGATGTTGGATTTTTGGAATGGAAATAAATATATATTATGTAAAAGGACCTATGCTTGATTATTTTATTTAAAGCATGAATAGAATAAATATTAAAGGGAAGTAAGGTACATTTTATTAAAAATATTAACGAAAGAAGTATTTATCCAGTAGAATACTAAAGAATAAGTAATTTAGTGAGCAGTTGGATATAAATAACATTTAGACAGAAAAGTTACATAGTAGAAGAAGCAGTGAAGTACAATTAGGGTACCAAGAGAACCGTCGAATCCAGAAAGAACAAAGAAAATCTTTTAGTATAATTAGTGAATTAATATATTGTTTGATTTTTTTTTAGTTTCAAAATTAATCTATGTAAGTTCACCAAACGTTGAGGGAATTTTCGAGTAAATCAGTTAAACTTGGAAGTAAGAGTTTTCCAATTTATTGTGATCCAAATCATTGTATTTGTTTTGAACCTTCGGACCCTGAGATTAAGAAGTAAAAGTTGAGTTATAGGGTGAGTTAAAAATTTTTTAATATATTGTAAAATTGATTTGTCATAACAAAATTTTTATATTTTATCAAAATTATCTACATAATTTATAACAAAACTAAATATTTTCAGATCAATACATAAATATATCTTCTTTTGTAGGATCTAACATTAGATCCTGGCTGATGTTCTGCCCGTAATGTTCCTGTTCAAAACCTTGAATTATATGCTTTCGCAGTAAGTGACCTAAATGTATGTTCTCCTTGAATTTAATTTTGTCTGTTTTCCCCTGAAAAAGCTAGTGAAAAAAACAGGTTTTTGAAGCGTGGAAGTGTGTTCGTTATAGTTTTTGGTTTATTGTATGCAATACCTACGAATAACTCACCGAAAAGCAGGCATGTTGTGACTCTGCTAGCTTTCATGTAACACAGTTTTTTCAATTAAGAGAAGGAGCAATAAAATTATATTAGCAATAAATTAGCTCAAAATGATGCACATTACGAAAGAAAAATTTTGTTACGGCTCTGCTAGTATCCACGTACGCTAGTAAAGCTAGAGTTTTCCAGTGAAACGAAAGAGCAATAAAATAATATAAAATATGAGTAATTAAATATCAATAAATTATGGCATAAAAAATTAAAAATTCGGTTGTGCCTCTGCTTGCTTATATTTCATCGATTATCATAATAAATGGTCTATTCATCAATCAGCGTCAGTGTTTGAATTGAATTTTTCGTCTCTTTGGTAATGAATCTCTATTATTTTACACCTATTGCAGGGATCTTTTTATTTTTCTATGGCAGGGATTTTAAACTAAATCCTTGCAATCCTGATGGTCCCGCCTCTACCACTTCACAAAATTCCAGCCGGGGTACGATCGTACCATCTTGTAGCCGCTAGCTCTTAGACTATAAGTGTAAAAGATTCAAAACAGAATAAGAAATCAGCCATTATTTACAAAATCTAAAATATATAATTATTACGTTGGTGGACACAATTTCTTACCATCATTTTGAATAGAAACTGTTATCCCATTATTTGTTGGATCTAATATTATTGCACTATCCGAAAATATAAAACAAAATAAAAATATATATACAAAGAGGATAATGTTTGTTCCAAACATTTTGAAAGATACTCAAATTTAATAAAATTTATTGATATATACCTAAATATCAGTACCTGTTATCATATTTGATAATCGTAGTACACTTAAGTATCATTAAAGTGTTTTTTATTTTTTATTTTTAGCCCAGAGGTAAAAGGTTAAAAAACAGATTAGAAAATCACGTAATACTGGGGTGATCCCTTCGATCATCCCACAACTCAATTCATTTCCACATGCCAACATCAAATGTAAAATGTATTTGGAAATGTGTCGTTGTTTACATTACTGATATTACTGTCATATGGTATCATTAACAGGGTAAACGGTACAGAAATGAAATAGCTCGGTTAAATTTTTATTAGAAAAAATTAGCATGGTGTATTATTCAATAGCTTACAATACATAAATACCTATATGACAATTAAAATAATGACATATAGGCATAATACATTTTGAAAATGTTTAACTATCTTCATTGTTGCTTGTAGTAGTAGTGCTGCATACCATGGATAGGATATACTAAATTCCATTTAAATTTTAACCACACATAAACTCCCTGCGCTCATCGTCTCACCTCCCCGCGACTCTCTAAAAAGTAACGCCGAGACGCGTATGAACACGTTTGGGCTGCATTTTTGCCAGATCGGCGAGCTTTGTTTGTCGCATATGCATGTGATGTGATTCGATTTCGGTTTTGTAGATAATTATTTTGCATTAATTCGCCAACGCGCCTGTCCATTGTACATGAAAATCATAGATGTAGTTTTTATAGTAGCTGAATAAAAGCTGTAAAATAATAATTGCTCTTTTTTTGGCATGAGGCATAATAAGATCCAAGAAATTTCAATAGCGATTTTCTAAAAATCAACTTTTTTGACTTATACCCCTGTTCTCCAACACCCGCCAATTATTATTTTATGAGGCTGAAGCTAGGGACAAACCGCGCGGCGGTCCGTTAAAGTTTTGATATTGTTATTCGGCAAAATCTTTGGTTTAGGTGGACTTTAATATCATGAAAGTTTAGAAATAAATAAAAATTAGTACATTAAAGACCGATTCCACCGTTGTGTTAAACGAAGTTTAGAATGACATTTTTACATTAACAACGTCATTTTAATCTACTTCACATTTCAATATATTGATATTTTAAAGATTTGAGATTGTATACCTATTTACTATTTGTTAAATATGTATTATTATATGTATTTATTTTGTTCTAATAATATTTATTGATATGTCTTATATTTTATTTAATAATAATATACAGAACCAACTCTTCAAATTAGACCTCCTTAAATTTGGCATATCCATCTAAATTATTTTGTAAAATAAAAGTTTCAAACTTACTAGTTCCATACTTTATTTTATAAAATAATTTATGTGGAAATCATTTAAAATTTAATTTAGAACTATTACCTATTACTAAAAATTTTAATTTGAATTTACCGCCATCTGTCAATTGTCATTTTAGTTCCTGCTTCAAACTCAAGGTGGCGCTAATTTGGTTTAAAAGTCTACCATTGGCGTGGGGTATCTAGAAGATACGTGCTTTGTGATAAAAGCTTTTTTTATTTGCTCTTCAATGAACCAAACCATCACAATTCGAAAAATAGTGTACAATTCTTAGAACCTGGTACATTTTTATGGAATCTGGTACATTTCTTAGGCAAATCTGGTACATAACAAAAATATATTTTGGCAACACTGGACCTAAATAAAATGGTTGTCCGTGAGTTTTGATATGGCAACCCTGTGGTCTTGGAGATTGGACAAGGTCAATGAAATACATAGTTATATAGATTGATCATCCATGTTTTTCAAAATAAACATAAGCTTATGCATTGAAGTAAAAATGTTTGTAATTATTTTTAAAACATATGTTTGCAACCAGTTCTGATTAATGAGCACTTGCGGGGGCAATATGGCCGCTCGCAAAGCGCCCCGCCTTAAGCAATCTATATAAATATATCGACTTCATTGACCCTGTCGAAGCCAACGGTCCACAGGGTTGCCATATCATAACCCATGGACAGCATTTTGAGAGATCATTGTAATGTCAGTGAAATGTCAAAATAAGTTGAAAATAATGAATAGGAATATTTTCAGATATTAATAAACGACCTTTAATTTTATCTATAGTCTACAGCTGATCTACGAAATCTAGTTACAAAATTAATGATGAGAACGTTCCTTACAAGTATTAAAAAATTATAGTTTAGGTAGGTAAATAGGTTAACCAATAATACAGACAAATGATTATAAGCAAAATAATTATGGCAAGGCACGTTTTAAACATGTTTTAAACTACCTAATCTGTATAATCGTTTTGCGCAATCATAAGTATTAGAAGTGCTATTCCTAATATAATCACATGATAATGTTATTCGGCAGTACACTTTGACTGGACTTGTTTTCTTTTGTGTGCTGATAACTTGTTAACTATGACCTTTGTAGAGATAAATGACCCCTGTGAAGAGGACGGTATATATAAAGTGGTAATTTAGTTTAAGTCATTTATTGCTTTACTGTTTACTGCAAATCATCTGACATTGTGTTAGTGCTCATAACCTAAACTCATTTAATTTTTCCTGTTTGTAAGCCAATACACCATAGTTGTTCCTTTGTGTGTTATTAGTGTTACTTTAGTTTTTTGTGTATTAATTTTGTGAATTTTTCCTTCGATCTGGCAGCACAGAGAGGAATGCTGAGAACTACAAAAGACTGTCTGGGACTTAGAATTCGTATCAATTCTCTTCACCAAACCTGGAAGTGGTTGCATCAAACTATTGCCGTTCACGACTATCTTACTGCCTTAACTTCAGCATCTAAAAACGTTTGCACAAGCAATTTTCTAACAAATTAAGGTAGTTTTTAAAGGCACAGCATCTACAAAATTAATATTGCTCAAAAACTACACGTAGAAATAAAAAATGGCATTGATTCAAAGATCTTACACGAGGGTGTCTACTTTAATCACCCGTATTAATAAAAACTCTTACTCTACTGCGTCATCCAGGAATGAGAACATTAAAAAATCTGTGTTTATATCTCAGTCAAAAGACATTTACACAAATCTTGCTTTAGAAGATTGGTTATATAAAAATTTTGACTTTAAAAATCACCATGTGCTAATGTTGTGGCAGAATGACCCTTGTGTAGTAATTGGAAGACACCAAAACCCTTGGTTAGAGGCAAATGTTACTCAATTACCATTAATTGGTGAACAAGGAGTACAACTAGCTAGACGAAACAGTGGAGGAGGTACTGTATATCATGACAATGGAAATTTGAATCTTACATTCTTCACACCCAGGGAACAATATAATAGAAAGTACAATTTGGAAATAATTTCCAGAAGTTTATTTAGGGAATATGATATGAAAGTGGATATTACTCCAAGAGAAGATCTTGTCATCAGAAATAATAAAGTATCCTTTTTTTATTTTAATACATAAATATAGAAACCAAAGCCACTATAAATTCTTACATTGCTGCAGGGGTGGCTTGTCACCAAAATTTTGGGGGTTCACACTAGCAGAATATAGATTCCGGTACAGATATAGGTAAAAAACTGTCAGTGTTTTAGAAAGGTATATTATAAACTTTATAAAACACTGAAAGTTTTTTCATACATCTGTATTGATACCTACCACTGCATTGCTGATACAAGTCTGTAACTGAAATAAATTTTTAATTTCAGTGATTTTGTTTTAAATCTAATTTAGATTCATTAACAAATAATTATTTGCACTTTTAGGAAGCTCACACTAAAATGTTTCAAAAAGCATGCCTTCCTTAAATGTTGTATAAATGTATTTGGGTTTATTAAAAATCCAGAGATAAAGTATTGATAAATTGTTGTTTGCTTCTTCTCTATGTTCTAAAAATGTTTGAATTGATAAAAACAATTATCAAATACGAAACATTACTTAAATGAGTGTATTATAATCAAAATGTGTACAGTTTTATTATTATTCAATTTCTATTTTTTCTACTACATTGCGATTTATTTTTGTCTGATCAAGTCAAAATAATTTGTTTCTTGACAGGTTGCCAATTGAAAACAACATATTTTCTATTTATTCAACCTGGATTGTATAATAATATCAGGGTTGGAAAAATCTAAGGATTAAAAAAATAAAAGTAAATTATTCAAGGTTTTTTAAGGTGCTAAAATCAAAATTAACACAATCATATTGCTGAATTCTCCATAAAATTACCTTTTTAATGATATCATACTTGGTGTTTCCCTATTTAAATTGTATTAGAGTGACAGAAGGGAGGGGGGAAAAATATTTGACAGTTGAGGATATGATGGAGAGATGGGTCTGAGCGTTAGTCTAAAATCTTGATGCAGATTCTGATAATGGCCATCCTGTATGTTTGAATTTACTGGGCCATAGCACACTTATATGGAATGATCCATAATTTTTTTTCTAAAGTAAGGCTTGGAAAAATTCACCCATGTCGGATCGTACAATTCTTCTTAAGTGTTAATTTGGATTTAACTTCAAGCATAGTTATCACCAGACATGACTCATGTCTGTCTGTCGTGGCCTACTACACTTTTTACATACAATAGATACCTTTTTTTAATAGATACCAATGAATGTCATACATGTATTGTCTAATTTGAAGGACTTTGGTTTGGCTTTGTTTGATTATGCCGCCCTTAATAATGCTGATATTTATATTCAAAAGACAACTTATAGTTATTTAATTCTATTTTTTTTAATTGAGATTATCGCTTTTTATCATATTATTGTACCCCATATTATTATCTTAATGTTATTACAGATGATAAACCTCATTAAAATCGAATAAACACCTTTTTGGGCCCTCTTTACTAATTACCAAAGTAAAATTACAAGATTTTGTTAATTGGTTTTGGAAAACTACTTTTGTGATAATAAGAGTATTTGTCCTTTTTAATCTATATGGAAATATTTCCTTAATTGATTTTAAAGCAGATTTCGGGAACAGCCGCAAAGTTGGGAAGAACTGCTGCTTATCATCACTGTACACTTCTTGTGAACGTCAACAAAATGGATCTTAGCCTTGCCCTTCAAAAACTAGAGGTAATTTAATTAAAAATATATATACAGTGTGTCTACCTAAGTTGACAGCATATATGGAAAAATTAGTAAGGCATCCTACCTATGGGACCTCAGTGCTGACAGAAAAATTTTCTTACTACCAACTTTTTAATACTTTTTTTTCACGTTTCCTAACCTGGAAACTTTATAATTTCTTTAAGCCGAAAACCCTATTGATTTTCAGAATTTTCCGTGTAGCTATAGTGCTTCAAATAACAGTATTTTTAAAATTCAATGCTTTTGTTATGATGCTTATTTTATGCACTGTGGCACGTACTGATTTCACGTTTTCACTTGATATCCATGCTTGTCAATTGTAAAACCAGACATTTTTTTGTATATTATGCATTCTTAACAAAATGGCAGCCGTGGGAAGGGTTAACATACGATGTGTTCTATTTACAACACGTGAAATCATGAATAAGGGATTAAATTTAAATATTTTATGTCGAACAGAATGAAAATAATATTAAAAAAAAAATTGCTTATATATTTTTTATAAATTGGCAGTCTTGGCGACTACTATTTCGAATAATAATAGCGTTCAAGATGGAAGGCTATGCCGCAACCCCCTTAGATATATGAACTTTTTCCACCGGCAGCTATTGTTTTATGTCAAATGAATTATTTAAAGTTTTTTAATTTAAAGGATTATATTTTAGTGCTTATTTATTGTAAGCTAAAATAATAATTGTTTTAAGTTGAACTAAATGTGGATCTTATGCGAATAACTTACAGGGTGGTGAAGTAAAGATTATATGATTTTTGTAGGAGTTTTATATATGAATTTTAAATATGGATTAAAAGGGTAAAGGACCCAAACATTCTTATATGGGTATGCTTAAAGGATAAAGGTACCACATTTTTTACATGAACAAGCTTAAGAACTAGAGACTTAAGGGGTAAAGATTCTAAATATCTTTACATGGGCAGACTTAAGGGACAAAGGGCCCAAATATTTGTAAATAAATTGTTCAACAAATGGGCAAACCCTATTCTCTATGTGGTCTAGCCTAAGTAAAGCCAATGCTTCACAAACCTGATAATTCAACATCTCAATACTTCTCATCGTCTTTCGTTCAAAATCAAGTCGTTTCTAGTTTCTTTTATGCTACGAGTTTTTCAGTCTTGTTTTATTACTATAGAAAGTTTTTTATCGTCTAAAACCATAAAATATAACCATCAGATATAAAAAAAAATTAAAACAGTAAAGTACCTTTAATTTATAAAATATCAAAAACTGTTATAAAGAAAGATTGACTATGTTCTAATATGCCATTACATCCATCTATCCTAAAAAATAATTATTCATTATCAATATACATGACAGAGAAATGTTTTTAATAATTAATTTAAAACAATACTTTCCTTCCAAACGCAGCAGCACTATTTTTTTTTTTTTTTTTAATTTTTAAGTATGTGATAAGCTATTTCTCAAGGTTAGAATAATTCAAAAGTATTTTACATACTATTATTTATCCACAAACATCTGTTTTGTAATCAAAGAGGCAAATTTTCGTGCCTACAAATCAAATATACATATGTCTATATACAGGGTGTCCCAAAATTTTGTTGCCACGTATTGTAGAAGTCAAAATGAGTCGTTTAGACCAAATTCATATACACAGTATCGGCTATCGAACCTTTTCCAATACGCTTTACACAAGTTGTAAAAATTATATCGTCCCAGAAAAAATGGAATCAAATTATAATTTTGATTGATCTTTTTTTTTTAATTTCTTACAATAAGAGGAAATGCTGTCTAAATCTGTCTAATCAATGACATCGCTTATTCTATACTGTAATTGAATGAAACTTAACATACTGTATGAACAAAATCATGACACATTTTGAATAATTTTTTAAATAGTTGTTGGTGTCCGAACATCACTATTCTGATGTATTCCCCCTTTTTAATATCATGTGGGTTTTTGCTGTTAAACTAAAAATTATATTTATTTTTGACTTGATAAAAATTTAAGAGTAGGTTATCAAAGAGGAAAATATATTTATAGAACTTCATTATCTTAAAAGGTTATAAAAACTTATTAAAGGTGAAACTTCTAACAATAATGATTAGATTCTTAAATAAAATTCTCGTTTAAGAGAAAGGAACAAAGGTTAAAGAGGTTAAAAAGAAAACAAGTTAATAATTAATTATTTGAAAAATACAAACAAATGTAAAATATTAAAAAACATCTTCCAATAAAAAAAAACCGCCTAAATTAATAATATTTACATTATAATTTTATTGACCAGAAAATATAATTGTTTTTGTTAATAAACTTTGGACCATTATGGTGTTGTTTTAAGGAAACCTACAATAAAAACATAACAATATATTTTACAAAGATATGATTTTTAAAATAAACTCAATTTTCATTATGTCAATAAGTAATTCCCCTTTACTCTTTTACATATTTTGAGAATTATGTGTCTTATTTCTTCAAAATTTTACTTTTTCGACATGGTATTGACTACAGAAGGTATTTATGATTTTTCTCGATGGCTCATTAGTTTGGTTTATTGATTTTTCTGTAATAAATTGCAAGTCTCATTTTCTTTATAATTGAAGCACCTTGGGGAGCATGATGGTCGAATTACACTTTGTTTTAACATTTCTTGTATTTTTGTTTACGAACTTCATCTATAAATATACAACGATAAGATTTAGTATGAACTGAGATTTCATGTTTTATTTTAGATGTAAAACTTAATTAGACAGGTTTATAGAAAATGTCTGAAAATTCTTTACATACATTTTTTCATCGTTCATTTGATTTATTTGTATTAAATTAGTTATATCATTTTTTGATTTCATATTGATCTGAATCTAAGGATGTCACTAAAATTGGTTTGTATAAACTAACTGAAATTATTTCGAGTTAAAATTTGGAGAATATTTAAATTATTTATCTTTTGTTCTCTGACAAAAATATCTCCATTATTTATTTATAGTTAGGTACTAGTAAAATTTTTGTCATATCATTGTTCGTATTTAAATGGAATTTTTACGTGTTGGCCTACTTTGTTGTGTTAGGGTCAAGTTTAAATGCAAATTTATTAAGTCATTTAAACTTAAGACTCATCATAATAATCAACGCTAAAATGCTGTCTGCTACACTAAGTCATGCGCAGAAAGTATGAAATTCGGTCGAATTAGTAGTATGTGTATCGTGCGTACACCTTCCTTTTTTTAGTGTAGATTCAAGTTTTCAAATAGAGTGCAAATTTCCAATATACCGGGTGTTCTAAATTAAAGCGTTACAGCTATATACCGCTTTTTATAAAAAAAAAACCGTTTCAGACGAAAGTTTTATAGTTTTGTAGGGAAAAACTTTTGGCTAAAATCGTTTTTTATAGCTAACCATAATATGGCCAACTTTTTTTTCGCGCAGCAACATTTTTATGTAGCTGTTACTCAAAAAGTAAAAGTCCAATAAAAAAATATTTTCCTCAAAAGTTTCTTATTTTTTTATGTACTTTAAGAATATGTAAGAAAAAAATGGGATTCTCATTTAAAAAAACAAAGTTCACCTCGATATGGCCATATTATGGTCAGCTATAAAAAAATGAATTTAGCCAAAATGTTTCCCCCAAAAAACTATAAAACTTTTGTCTGAAACTTTTTTTCTAAAATGCATATTTTCGGCGGTATTTAACTGTAACACTTTAATTTGAACACCCGGTATATGTTTAGGAAAATTCTTTAGGTATGGAATTTTTTCGGATATCCTTCGGAAGTCCCAAAATTTATTTAGAAGTCCCAGAATTCATGTGAAAAACCCGGAATTCTGTTCACAAAATTTACCCCGCGATTTAAGACGATGTGGAACTTTTTCCATATTTTGATAACTTAGGCAGATACACTTGTAGATTAGTAGCAAAAACAGGTTGACTTTTTCTTATTAAATGACATGAAATTACTTTGACAGTGTATATATAATTTGTTGAAAAACTGAAAGGGGTAAATAAAAGAAGTTTGGCATCCTTTTTAGTTTCAAAACAATAAAATTAATCAAAAGAATACCAATTTAAAAAAATGTAACCAAATAATAACATTCTTAATTAACAATTTGGTGTTTTTGTTCATTTTAAACAATATCTGCTGAACTGTTAATACTTTAAACATCTACAACTTCTTTAGTGAATAAATATTATACTTAGGTAAGGTGGAAAATTACGCATTTTTTTATAGAGCTGGGGAGGATTCGAGAGCGGTATTCAAATATGTAAAAACCAATATTATGATCGAATCAAGCTTTGACTTGTCGCGAAGTCTAAACAAATAATAGATATTTTTTTGTACATCTTGTATGTTTTTCATCTTATATTGTTTTGTTACTATTTATCATCATAAATCAATATTTTTTAGGCTGATATAAAAACTACTGCCACGAAGTCTGTTAAGTCAAAAGTTATGAATTTACGTGAAGAGAATCCTAATGTTGAAATCAGCAATTTAATAAAAGCAGTAGGTTGGGAATACATGAGAACACATGCCTTAAAACTTATAGATGGGGGCATGGAACTAGCCAACAAACAAAATGGCTTTCAAATGCTTAATCCTACAAATGATTGGTTCCCAGGTAGATATATACATTAGCAATAAAAATTTTGATTATAAACTACTAAATGCAATTTTTTTAGGTTTGAATGAAATCAGAAACGAACTCACTAGTTGGGACTGGCATTACGGCAAGACTCCCAAATTCGATATTACAAAATCATTCAAAATTCCTGAGTACCTACAGGAAAATTATGGTATAAATGAAGATTTGAAAGTCACACTGGTAGTTGAACATGGAAAAATATCTGATATTTCTCTTTATGTACCTCCAGGTCTCTCCGCCAATGGTTTTTCAGGAAATGCCAATGTTATTACAAGTCTCATAGGGCACACGTTTTCCGACGATGCTCTAAATAGCTTAGAATCCATGATAGGTGGATTAGTAAGTGAAAAAGATAGATTCGTTTCCGAATGTTTGAAGCAAGTGATGACCTCGTTTTGATTAAGATCTGACAGGACCAGTTGAAAATCTAAATAAGTCAAATTTTATCTTAAAACGCAGTTAAACCAAATAGAATTGAATTAAAATGTTTGATACACTTATAGATTACAAATTAATATGTTACAGGTAAATATTTGTCAGATTTAATAACGTAAATTTAGACCAGTGGTCGCCAACTTTTTCAATGTGTTTGAGCTACTTTATGAGAATTTGCGAAATTAGCGAAAGCTTTCTATGATTTTCACGTCTTTTTATTTTGAAAATATGAGCTATCAGAATTGCCTTTGCGAGGAGCGACCACTGATTTTAGTCCAATGAACTGAAACTATTAAAATTTGAAATAAACATTTTTATTTTTATAGATTTTCAATTTATTCTGTCTATGGCTAAAAAAATTAATGACTTCAAAACGAATTATACTTTTTGCTCATAATTAAGTAATTTTTGTCTCAAAAAAATCGCCAAATCTCCTAATTTTTAATTAATACTGCCAATATTAATGCTTTAAGCTAATTAGAGTTAGAATTATTATATAGGTAAACACTTTTTCACTATCATAGTATTGATAAAGTCGAAAGACTTTATAAATCAAATAAAAATCATCAAAACGCCCCTCTTCATTTATTCAAAATATCTTAAGAACCGTCTCTATAATCGTCGACTTTCTTTATCATTAAATTGATTATTCAACTGAGCAACTTTTTTCCTATAGTCCTTATGATTTAGAAGATGTGAAAAAGTGTCAACCCTGTATATACGATGTATCATGTAGGTTTTAAAAATCTCAAAGTTTATCTTCGGTCCAAAGTTCATAAAATATTTCTGTTTTTATTTCGGATGTGATAAGCAAGAAGATAGTTTTGCTCTTTAACCTTTTCAGTTCCGAATTTAGTTTTTGATAGAAAAAAAAAATTTGCATTTTTTTAACACAGTGAATAGGTATTTTTGTAAAAAAAAGGATTGTGAAACAATGAAAAAATATTTCGTCCTTTTACCAAGTATTTCCTTTTCATCATATTCTGGGAAGTTACCAAAATAGTATCAATTTATATTCCTCTTAGAAAATTGGTTCCAGGACTGGTAGTTGTGGCGAATTTACACTGCTAGGGCGCCCAGGCCCTTCAGTGATATTTTTTGTCTTACCCAAGAAAAAAGAGTTGCAACACCCTAAATTTAAAATGAAGAAATTCCATAATGTCATTTTTTTGAGTTCTTAATTGTTTATTTGTTGTTCACTTTTTATATTTCATAAAAACGCGATGATGATACAACAATATCTGGTTTATGCTGTCCATTGTGATAGACGGTGGGATTGAAAGGGTTAAGAATATTAAACGTCCTAGCTTTCCTATAGGTATACCCGGGAGCAAAAAGGACGAGCGATCGTAGTGTTTCTTTTCCGAACATGTATATACTTAATTTGATTGTAATGATATGAGACACTTCATAGATTTGTGTATAAAAATATATTTTTGTAAATTTTTATATCGTTACGTTTTTTTCAAATATTTATCTAGTTTATTCTTTTAGCCGAGTTTAGTTTTAGGAATGGGCCGTGCTAACGGTTATCAAGAATTAATCATATCATTTATGTATTAATGCGTTTTTATATATAGTTTAGTTTAATATGAAGTATTTGTTGATTGCGCATACATTTATATTTTCACTTCATACAACTTTTATTTTTTTATGAGATAAATAAAACTAAATCTATACCAAATAAATTCCTTTTGAAATAATTGCTACCGGTTTTGGCTATAGGAAAAATTTTAAGATATTAGGTTTGTATTCAACCCATTCTAAAATCATTAAATGTTAATAAGTTATAGGAATTTATGATATACATTTCGAGTTTTATTTACCTCAAAGAAGATTACCCCATTTCAGAGGTTGAATTCTCTTCTTCACTTGTATTTTTTAGTTCAAGACTACCTGCAGGTAATGCAGATTTTAAAGGGTAGGTTTGGTTTCTTTTCCTTCTCTGAATTTTGGAACTTTTTTATTTTGAATATCATGCTATATTATTTTGAAGCTGTTGTGCCTTATTCTTAGAAATTGTAGCAATAATTTAGTTTTAAGTTTACTCAATAAACTTATAAAAATATATATTATTTTATTTTTTACATTAACGAAATAGACTAAAAATGGCGATAGTTTTTCAGTTAACAAGGTGTTAAATCATACTTTTTATGATAAAGAAGAGTTCGTGTAATTTAAATGATTACAAGAGTTTAGGTGTAGATCAGAGGTTCCCAAACTCTTGTTCCATAGATCACTTTCAACATTTTGCTGGATCCGGTGGTAGCTACATCACTACCAATTTCTAAATCTCGAAAAAAAAGTGAAGATTAGATCTATCTATGGAAACTTGCGTTGTGGCCGAGTTTTAACGACGAATTAACAGTTTTCGAAGAAAAAGGTTAGAATTGATTGCTCGATAGGATTAATTATTTGATAATAAAGTCGACTAAACAAATTTTCAATTAAATTTTAATTGATTGTGCTGTGAGTGGATGTCAAAAAAGCAAAGTTGGCCAAACGAAAAAGTGACTCCATCCAACTTTACTTTTTTGAAATTTACAGTGACTCACAGCACAAGAACCAATAAATTCTCACAAATTTTATTCAGAAAACGTCCCATTCGGAGTGGTAAAAAGAAATATAGTATATTTCCTTGTGTTGTAGGTATTTATTTTAATTTAAATATATAAATTATTACACTATTAATTATTATTGTTATAACCGTCGTAATATAATTAAAATTAAATGGTGTGCGGTTTTCCAGATTTTGCGATAAGTAATGAGATATTGTAAGATGCCAGCAAGCCATCATCGTTGCTTTCAGACGTTGGAGAGAACATACTGTACACGGTGGGTCTCTTTTCATACTTTTCCTTTAATGTTTAGAAATATTTCAAATCTTTATCTATTTTATCAGGATGACACCTTCTTAGATGATCTTCCAGCTTTGATGGTTTCATAGAGTCATTGCTCAAAACTTTGTTGCATAAAAGGCATGTTTGTCTGCGTTTGATGGAAGAAAACCAAATTTTAAATATTCAACACTGTATTGACACTTCTTAGATTCGGCCATGTTTTGTATCAATAACCTACCTGTAAATGTGTAAGTAAATAAATAAATAAACTTTGTTTTAGTAATCTTAAGGAGATTAGAACTTAACAGGATATGGCTATTTTAACATAATATGTTTAATCAATTATTAAAAATATTATGAAATAAAGTTTCGGCTGCAAACTGTTTCTAATTATTAAAAACAATAAATCGCTAAGATCCATAATAGAGTTTTATGAAAACGGCTGAACTTATTTTAATGTGATATAAAATTATTATTTCATTTATTATATTTTAATATAATTCTGTAAATTCTATAGAAACTTTTAAACAATATTTTGATATCAAAACTCCGCAATAATTAAATGAATTAGATAGGTAATAAAAATAAAGTAGGGACGATAAGTTCAATCTTTATCGGCTTAAGCCGGCCCCAGACAATGCGTGTGTGTGTGTGGGAGCTCAACTGCGCCTATTCTTCGGCATTCGCTTGCTATCCGTAGTCTTGTCGGTAAAACGGTACGCATCAAAGGAAGACGAAGTGCCTTCGCGTTAGCTCCCAGACAGTGTGCTCAACTACGCCTAGTTGATTGCCTATTCTGTCTTTAGTCAGAGTCGCGCCAAGTTTAGCGACGTGTTATATTATTTATTTTGTTATTAAAATTACTATACAGGCTGCAACTGCTTGCTCATATCGTCATTATCCACTGCTCTCCGCTACTGTTCTATACTGAGGCCCTGCGGCGAACGTTTGTCAACATCAGAACATTTTCCAAATGCCGCAGTGTGTGGGAGGGTAACCGAAGGCATGCCGAAGACGCAGTACGAAGGCACATTCGCCGAATACACGTATTGTCTGGGACCGGCTTTAAAACTATATGCATATAACAAATAGGCAGGTAGGTACTTACTTTTCCGACACTGGCAATCACTATTCAGTCACTGGCCAACACTAATATCGATTCACTTTTCTTTATGAAATTCCAGAAACAAATGAGTAACGATTATCCTTGACATTCGTATTTATATTGGTGAAGAATCAAACACGTTCATACAAGATTGCAAGACACATACACCACAAGTCGTATTAATTTGCACGTCTGAACAAGCGTTGCGGACGGGACGGCGACCGGCGCGGCAACGACAAGTCTCGACGGGTTTTACTGAATATGGAATATGCAAGTTTTTACAAGTAACAGTCGCTGAGCTTCTTAAAATATTATCTGCGTATATTGATAAGAGAAGTCAAACATAATCCTAATAGTTAATAAGATTTCAACCTTCTGCGAAATATATTCAATTCCTAATGACAAATTATATTTTGGAAAGAAAATAGGTATTACCTGGTAAGCTAAATAAATAATGACTTAAAATGTCCAAATACTACTAAACGTGTACTAAACTTGCAACTGTAAAATTAATGTTCATAAAAGGACGCACATTGGACGTCCAAATAATACAGCTATGGACGTATGTAGGCTGGCTTATAAGCTAGGTGGTAGGGTTCGATTACAATTAGAAGAACACAGCTACGTCATAACCTACTTCGAATGCATATTATCTATAACTTTCAATAAACAAAAATTAAGTTGTTAGGTGCAAAAAACAATATTTCCTATATCTCTATAATATTAACACTCCACTAAACCCCCATTAGACGGCGGTAACCAATTAATTACGTTGCCAAATGATGACGTGTAGCTGTGTTCTTTTAATTGTAATCGGACCCTACCTATCTACTTAGGAGGATGCACAATGAGTCTAGTGAGACCTAAGTGCCGTGGGTTAATCCACCTTCCACACGTTACAGATACGAATATGTACGTTCTGACCCTCAAATGGTAAGTCTAATCCTGGAGCTATCTGCAGGGTGACATATGACTGGATCATTTGTTTAATTGAAAAAAATAATTTTAAATAAAACTCGTATTTATGCAAGGTCAACCGCATAAGCAAAATCTCATGATAATAAATGAAATTAAGAAATTACATTTTTAAACATATATTATAATTATGTATTTTTCCAACTTTCATAAATAAACTCGGAGAAAATTAAATCATTTTCTAAAAATGAGATTATTTTAATTGGGTCAATTAAAGATGGAATTATCATGTCGCACATAATATGATAATGTAATCTATATAATTTATCATAAGGTTAAAAAGATCCTTATGTGGCAAAGGAGATCATTCATATCGCAAAACCTGTTTTCAATACATTTCAAGAAAACATGATTAACTATTTACCCATCATTACTGGTGACGTAATAGTTAATGTTAAAAGGACGAAAAGTGGAGTTTTCCGAAAATACACTTTTGGTCCGCGTTTCATACATTTTTATTCGAATGTGCTTATAGATAATAAAATATAGAAAATTAAATCTGAAATATTATTTCCAAGATAAGAATAGTTAGGTATATTCTTGGTAAGTCTTACTTTTCAGACAGAAAGCAATTTGTTCAGATTAATGGTTTCAAGTCGACTCAATATCTGGCAACTTCCGGTGTTGCGCAAGGTTCTAATCTAGGTTCTTTGTTATTTAACATATTTATAAATGATATAAGCAATATTTTAGATACAGATATAAACTTTCTTCTATACGCCGATGATTTAAAGTTATTCTGTCGTGTCGAAACGGTTGAGGACTGTGACGTGTTGAGGAGTGGTGTCTCAATAACAACCTTTCTCTTCACTCCTCTAAATGTTTTGTAATGTCTTATACCTTGAATCAATGCCCTTTAACTTTTAACTATAGCATTAACAACACGATTCTTCAAAGACTGGTTACCATCACAGATCTTGGAATTACATTTGATCCCAATTTATAAATGAACAACCATATAGAATTAATAGTATTAGCATCGTACAAAATGTATGGATTTATCGTTCGTTACAGTTATATTGTATTATTCATTTGTCAAATCTAAACTTGAATATGCCTCAGTTGTGTGGAGCCCATTCTATCAGTTACATATTGATATGATAGAATTGAAGCAGTCCAACGGAGATTATTAAAACTTTTAAACAAGATGGAGTTTAACCTCCTATAGGTACACCTCATCGTGATCTGCTACATAGACATGTTTTGGAGTCTTGATACAAGACGCAAATATTATTCTGTGGTGTTACTATTCAAGATAGTTCATTTTAAAGTTGATTTTTCATATTTGATTCATAGTCTAAATTTTGCAGTTTCTCGAATAGCTTCCAGGAACACTCGTCTGCAATTTAGAAAATATGTAAATGAATAATCCCCAGTTCCCTTATAAAATTATGAAAAATCCACCCCATATCCCTAAAGTGAAAACAAACCAGAGAAAAATTGAAAAAGCTGAAAATATAAATACATCGACCAGGGATCGAACGTGACGCGTTTGTGCCTCTACCAGTTGGACTATCAATTCACATGCCTTCGACAGTCGAATTCGTAGATCTCTAGTCAAACTATGCCGTAAAAAACCTCTCTTGCGAAGTGTCTGATGCGGAAGCTGGAGTTATTTCGCTTTTTGGTTTGGAATTAAACTCCTTTTTTCCATGCCATTTCTGAAATTTTGCCATTAACGAAAAATCTGTACCTTTATTCCTTATCTATCAGCCCGAATATGTTCAAAGGTTTCCTACACAATGTGATTAAATAAAACAATAGCTATATTTCTCTACAGTAGATTGTTATTAAATAAAATACATGATATTACAATATTCTGCATAGGGTTTTCTAACGAATCTCTTCCATTTAGGACAACTTGACCCTTTTTGCCGAACAATATTTTTAATTAAATTACTAAAAATTATAAAATTACAGAACAATTTAAATTATTTCTTTGTACACGACCAATTAATTAATAAATATACTTCCATCCTATTATTAAAATATAAATACAAAATTATTTAACATATCCACTGCAAAGGTTGTCAGATTAAAATTTTTTAAAACACCAAATAACGGCCAAGAAAATAAAATTGGTAGAGGAGTCGGTGACACTTTTTTAGTAAACAATAATTGCACAAGACAAACTTATAAATGTTTCGTTCATTCCCGTCTTGTAGAAGATGAAAATACTTTGCTGAAGACGCAACAGCGGTGGAGCGCTCTATGACGGTGTCTTAATAAATCCGTTGTAAGAAATGCTATCACATTTTTGATTAGATAATTAACTTGAAACAAGCCTTCATGGCTTAGGTCGTTTAGCCATCACCTTTAGATTTCGCTACCCAGGTTAAATTCTCGATAAAAACAATCTTGTATTTTTATTTTGAAATAGTACAAAATAAATAGCGGAAACATTAACTGTAGGGGTTATTTTATGACAAATAAAATGTATTTAAAATAAATAAACAGCAATAATCGTATTTTTTCATATTCCATACTTTTACAAAACAAAAAGTTTGCTTTTAGTAGCACTTAACGACTTAACCCATGAAGGCTTATGTCAAGTTAATTAACTAATCAGATATGTAACATTAGCATTTTCAACAACCCGTTTTTTAAGATGTCTTCATGGAGGGCTCCATCACAAAATGTGTCAACAGCAAATCCACGTGCTGGTTTAGCCTTAGTGGATTTACCAGGTTACTTATACTTATGTATTTAGAAGAAATAATTAATATAATTCTTGTGTAATATATCTTATATTATTATTGCAGGGACTGCAGCAAAGTATTCCATGTTCTGCCAGATAAGAACGAACAAAAAATTTGCAATAATACACCTAAAAGTGTCACAGGTTCCCCTGCCAAAATGTATGCACTTGCTAACACCTTCACACTTAGTAGACTGATATTAGACGTGTAACCATGGTAACTCAAACAACAATCCGAATTTCTTTAGTGCACATTGCGACGTAATGATTTTATACCTAAGCGGGCCTGGTCTATGAATTTCACTTGTATATTTTTATTGATTATTTTTATACTTTTTGTTTGAATAAAAATAAGTGCTTGCTGAACAAAATTACACCAGTACAGCAAAATTATCACCTTTGGTATTCTACGTACGTTTTTCTAAGGGTGAATCAGAACTATGGGATCAAACGTCGGGAGGTTATTCGGTGCAACAATAGAAGGCATTTGATACTTGGCTGACTAGCGTTTAACCATCGATGACGTGGAATGAATGGGGGAGTGAATGGGAAAGTAGTAGGATATTCAAATGGTGATAGCAAGGGTGTAAAACAAATAAATACAAGAACTCATGTCCGAAAATGTCTCTCTAAGGCGTTACGGTTCTATGACGCTTTCATTTGCCATTCCAATTTTGATCGAACTGTTAATCCAAATACTGATGGACTTGTACAGAAAAGTGTGGCGGTGCACCATCATGTTGCAGTCACATTTGCTGTCAAACGTTCACTGGGTCATTTTCAAGAAGTTCCGTCAAACGTTCTGGCAGCAGGTATGGCCCAATCAAATGATCATTAACAATAACAGCTCAACAAACCAACGTTGCCGATGTTTTCTAGAAACTATCCCATGTGGATTTTCTTTCACCAAAACATGGCTATTCCATAAAACAGAACGTAAAAAATTTAATTGCTTGACAATCTGATGAAGGTCACTGATAAACCTTGGACTTTTGGAAATGGTACGGGTAATTTTCCATCGTTGTTCTAATGTCCATTCAGTGTTTTCATTTTCAAGTCATTTGAATTCTTTGTCTGTTTCTTCTGGTATTTTACTTTCTTTTCTATGTTTTTCAGTTTACTTATTGCACTTCTACTGTAGTTTATTGCCTCTGTTTTTATTTTTGAGTGACATTCTGTTATTACTAATCTATGGTGTCCATATTTCCTATTATTAAGTAATGTCCCTTACAAAAGTTTATTATCTTGAGTCCACTCTAACAAAATATAAAATAATAAATTAAAAAAATATTCCTTGTCTAAAGTTATGCCTTTATGCCAATTTTGATATCGATTTACGAATATGTTGTGAAATTATTATCAAAAAAACGAAAAAAAAAAAAAAAAATTCAACTTTTTCCACTTATTTGTCCCCATATTTTGGTCTAATATTTATGACTCACCAATGTCACCAATTTGTACAGTTTTTAATAATACCTATTAAAATGAAAATAGAATTTTATGAATTATTAACAAAAAACAAAAAAAAAATCGATTATTTATTTTTATAAAACCCTTAATGCGACCCTGTTTAGTAGCACACTCACAATATATCTGCATACATTTACTTTTCTTTAACTTAGATATAGTATAGTTCATAATGAAGTTGAGGTGTCATCAAAACATACATTGAGTAGATCCTAAAGGTGATAATTTTGGTATAAGTAACTGTCTAAGTAGTTTGAAATAAATCAAACTCTTTTTTTTTAGTATAAATGCAATAAGGAGGTAAACATTAAGCAAATCAAATAACTGTTGAAGCTACCTATAAAATGTAACGATATCACAATTAAATTTTTACCATTTTTGACAACAAGTCCATACTAAGAATTTTATAACGCGAATCATAATTAGAGAGTTAGCAATTTCGGAGCTTGGCCAAATTTTTCTGAGTCGTGCCAAGTGAGTCGTGGTTCGAAATTAGTTGAAGTAAATTCTAAATGTCCTTCAATATCAGCCTCTTCTTCTTTTATCTTTTTTAACTTCAAATAACCATGAGTATTATTGATTATTTTTCGTTTGAGGTTAATTGCCATCAGTATGTCATTTCTTTGGCATTCTATACGATGGTTGGACAGCAGAATGGCTCCTCCCACCTTCTTAGCTCCATAGTTTGGCACTGCTACAGGTTTTGGATGTGATTTGTACATTTTTGTACCTGACTGATGGTTAGGAATCGTCAAATACAATGACTGGTTTGTCACAGGAGGACTCTGAGACTGCTGAGATTTCAAACAGATGACATTTTTACCTATTTGTACAAACTAGAACAAAACCAAATTGAATGCATGGAAATTATTCATTGATATGAGTCTACTAGATGCAAAAGCATGAGTTTGACTAAAATTAAAAAGTTAAATATTTTACATCGTTGGAGAGGTTTTAAGATGTCGAAAATTTGTACTCAGATGGAAGAGCATTCATTTAACCATAGTTTTTTTCTCGGTTATATCACAATCATAATTGACTTAAGTCCAAGCGTTTGCATCTACAGGGACTGTATAGGAAGTAATGAAGGATTTAATTTAACTGTGGCCCTTTTGCAATGACGGTGCCAATTTTATTTCGACACCTGATATTATTTTAACTTAACAGGTCTTCAACAATACCCGTATCCCACGTGTAACATTGATAACTTCAGTAGAAACCTTAAAACAACGCCACTGACATATTTGACAGCAGAGTTGTTTCTGGTTTTACAAATATGTGGTTGTACTGTTGTATACACTTCTGACAAATGGCGGATATGTACAATTTGTTGTTGTTAAATATTTATGAAAAAATTTGGTGTACAGAAGGCTTTCCTATGCTCAAAAGGTCTACCATTCGTTATATCATTTGCAATAAACAAGTTTAAATTTGACGCCATTCGCGACCAATCAGTACATTGCTTTACATCGAAACCATTTAGAAAGTGGTTGGACTTTAGTTCTTAAAACAAAAATGAAGAATTATATGCATCGGTAAGTGGTAGGCTCTGTGCTACCAGAGAAAAAGAAGATTAATTAGTTGCGGCGATACAATCAAACGTAAGAATGTATAATTTTGACATTAAGGTCCGTATTTATAAACAAAACTTAGCTGAGTCGTACTTGGGTAAGTCGTCCTTAAACTAAAATCGAAGTTCGGTTATATCGGGTGAATTTAGAGATGGGTAGTAATAAATACGTAAAGGTACTTAACAGTTACAGATTTGCTAATATCCATCTCTAAATTCCAGTGTAACACCGGAACCACCTGGAATTTTTTAGAAACGTTGTAACCGAACTTCGATTTTAGTTCAAGGACGACTTACCCAAGTCCGACTCAGCTGAGTTCTGTTTATGAATACGGACCTAAAAGAACTGATACTTAAGCTGATATAAAAGTCACTAAGGACAATAATTTTCATTAAAATTCTTGGTTTACCAGATCACGTAGGATAAATGTATTGTTGAAGGCTGTACCTTAAATTCCTTCCTTAAAAATAATCAATCTTTTGGTACTTACCGATATTAGGCTCATTGGCATATAAACTACAGGAACAGTCCCAATATCACTCTCTTTCAAGTGAACGTTCTTGATGTAGTTATTGTTCATAGTTTTTGTGTTACCATTTTCAATATCAGTCAAGATAGGTAGCTAAAATATCAAAAATAGTGTCAAAATAATAACAGTAGGAATGGACATGATATGCATTAGGATAAAGGTATTATTGGTCTGAGTAATGTCATATGCTTCTATTGTTTTTAAGATTGGTTTTCCATACTAAAATGTTCCATAAGAGTAATGACGACAACTCGCACATGATACAGGTACCTGTGTATTAGGACTGGATTTTAAAACTTTCTCTCTCTTGAAATATCTTTCAACTAGGCTAATTTGTACATTTTTTTATGACACACTATTCCAACGACTCTACTTTGCGTTATAATTATGATTTGTTAATATAAAATTGCTTTACAGGAATGCTTTTATTGTTATTTATAGTAGTAATTGGGGCTTTTGTTTATACATATATTTTCCTTCAATTGAGCAACACAGTTTATGTCCTATTTAATTTACAATTTTAAACATCTCTTTTGATACATGTGTGTAATTTACACACAGGTAAAAAATTCAGGGGGATAGTACTCAAAAAAATGAAGAAAAGTTCCTATGAGCATGGGTCCGTAAATATATACTTAATAAGCGAGATAAAGTCCTTGATAGGGTCAAAGTTCAAATAAAGAAAAAATTATCCAAAATTTGCAGACTTGCTCCCAGATCATCTGCTGATATCAAAAAAGGATTCGTCCAATCCAAAAGGGTAGCTTTCAATAACACATTAAAAAAACTATGTATTTCTTTATACAAAAAAGATACCACTGTTTTTTGAAGATTTTAAGAATTAAAAATCATTTAATTATTAGGAAACAAATCGGTAACCAGAAGTTTATTGAGAAAAATTACTTATAAGAACTTTTTTCTAGTTTCATAAGTACTATCAAGCCCCCGGAGTTTTTACACCATTTTCTTCATGAAAATATTTGAATTTAGGCTCCTAATTTTGCTCTGACAACCAATCTTAATTAGTACAAAACTTTATAAAAATAATGTGACGAACCTTAGCCGCAACATCTGAGGTAGTTTGTCTAAGAGAAATTGTTGGTTTTGGTTCAACAATTTTGGATAACACTGGCGTTTGATTAAGATTAGTCTCTGGGGGTTCACTTGCGTTTGAGAGAGCACCTACAACGGGTGCGAAGGTAGTATTTTGAGAAAAAGAATCTTCTTCTGTCTGACCATTTGGGGACGTATATGAACAATTAGAGCCATGCTTCGGCTCTTTTTTTTTAACAGTCCTTCTCTCAGCTATTAGCTGGTGGATGTCCTTGCTACGCCCAGTCACTAATTTCCTTAACTGAATCTAAAATAATAATTACAAATTTTTATAAGAATTCATAAAATGAAATTACGAATCAAACTTAAATCAAAAGGTGCAATGTTTATACTTACCCGATGATTATTACAAGTTATTGATCTTGTGCAAGGTCCTCTATTACCTTCTACAACGCCACAATGCACATCTGGATCAAACTCTTTCGTTATCTTGGTATTACTATTACTTTTCCTACTTTTCTTATGTCTACTACTACTACCGCTGGTACTGCTACAATTGCTGTCCGATGGTGTTGATTTGGATTTTGGTGAATGTTCTAAATTTGATGAGGTCTTCGAAGGAGATCTTGGTGAATGAGAATTTAATTTCGAAGATGAGCTTAATGATGATACCCTAGTTTCAGTTTTACTAGATGAGTTAGATGTTGTCAAAGTAGAAGAAGTTGATATTGGTGATATCTTTGATATTTTGGGCGATGATACTTTAGAGAGGGATATTTCTGGAATGCTAACTGATGCTGGTGTTAAAGATGGGGATGGAGATTTCTGAAAAAAAAAAGTATATGAGTTAAGTTTAGAGTATTTTGGTTACCGACCGCGTTGTAACGTTGGCATCTCTGATATTATTCGTTTCCTGCTCATTCTGATGCTATTCTCTGTAGTTTTGACACGCACTTGTACAAAGGCATATTGGAAAGTCTTCTAATCAATAGCCGATACTGTATAGGCAGATGAGTTGCATAAAAAGAATTAAAATCTGGAATATTTGTAGTCCTGGTCTCAGAAAAATGTACACTTCCAGAAAGATAATCAGCATATTTACCAAGTTTGTCATTACGTGGCTTATAACTCATTAAACCAAATACGAAACAGTCCTCTATTTCTTCCAAAGCTAAATACGAATGTCTCATCTATTTTTCAACATCCGAGTTTTTATTATTAAATTCTTTAACTAAACCAAGCAATTGCATTGTTTTAAACCAATTTTGATCTAAGTGAAAATGACAGCTAGTTTGTTTAAGCTAGTTTCGGTAATTTGATGGATCATTGAAAGGATCTTTTTTATGGAGTGACATTTTGGTCCACTTTAGGGGCACGATGCCAGATTCAAACATTTTGTTAAATAGGAGTGTAAGATGTCCAATTCTTGGGCCAATTTTTGAAATACTCATAATAAAAGAGATTTATTATTTTTAAATTATTTCATTACTATATAACACATTCCTCTGTGGATATTTTAGCATCAAGGTAAGGATTCAAAGCGAAAAACTTAGTGGTATCTAAAATTCTTTAAGATTTTGATAATCTTATAATGTAGATATCATTTCTGCCTCAAATTTATGATGCTTAAATTTTATTATTTGTTTATATTCTTTTTTCATATCTATAAATATATTTGGAGTATCTTGGGCAAAATTGTTGTTTCGACATTGTGAAAGAGCTAAATTACTGTGACCATGGTAAAATGGTAAAATTTCATTAGATTGTAAAGGAATGTTACATTTAAAACAGCAATATTGGTATACAAATTCATTATCCAATCACATCTAGATTATTGTAGTACATAGTTTCCTAATGTTATTGAATTATTGAAATAATATTGCCTTGTTAAAGACACTTCAAAACAAAGGAATGTGTTTACTGTTGGAATGTTATCGGTATACTTCAATTAAGTTAATGTTGGATACTTTAGATTGGCTATCGGTAAATGATTGTATTTTTTTATTCAGCAATGATATTTATTTTAAACAGATACAAAATGGTATTTCAGTTAAGTACCTTAAATCTGAATTTTCAAATTTATCTACCAATTAATAGACCAATAGAAATTTTGAGAAATAACCTATTGCAATTTTTGAAAATATGTAAAAATGTCAGGTATAGCCGATCGAGAAAAAAAATGGTAAACGTCATTTTTTATTATTATTGTCCTCTAAATTTGCGTAAACCAAATAACAAAAAATGCCCATATGATGCTGACTTTAGTATATTTACAAAATATTTTAAGTTATAATCAGGATGTTCATGAACACAATACACGAAATAAGAAAAATTTTAGAGTTTATAAGGCCACGAAAAAATGTACACAAAATTCAGTGTTTTTTAAAGGTGTACAGGCTTTTAATAATTTGCCTGAAGATATTAAATGTTCTTCAAACACAGCAATATTTAAAAGAAAACTGCTTGAGTACTTGCTGACCAACTGACTTTTTTCTTGTTCTTTTATTATGTTTTGTATAGTTGACATTTAAGTGTACTGTATCTTATGTATTTTATTGTATTTTGAGTGTATGTTCATTCTATACTTATGTATTTTTTATATTTTAAATGTGAAGATGTATTGACATGTAAAAAATAGTTTTTTTGACTAAATAAACGATTTATATATATGGCTTGTGGAAGATATATCTCGTTGAGATGGAATCCATGTTTGCTTGAAGCAGTGGTAGCATATCAAGCTTCTCATGTCAAATCCGACGTCTCGCCTCACCTAAGAGTCCAAAAAAAAGGTCGACTAAACATCAAGTGAAGTGATCTCAAAAAAGGTCATTTGAATATTCAAGAAGATTGCCACTCAAATAATGTGTTTAAAATGGAGAAAATAAATTAATGTTTATGACTCGCTATATGGAATACGTGAAGAGAAGGACGAAACTCCTATTGCCAAAACTTTAAATGGGAATAGAAATGGATCCGGAACCTGAAGAAATTGCGAAAGTGCTCATCAGACATATTCTTGAATTCATCAAGAATATTAAACTGAGGGGGTAGAAACTGAGAGTGGTACAATAAGCCTAGAGCTTCAGTATGAGCGGGCTTTGAACCACGCCTTAAATCAGATAGATAGATAGATAGATAGATACCCAGACAACACACCAAATCCCAGAGATATCCGCAGAATATCTTTTGTGGATATCCAATATATCCACAGGATATCAGAAATATTCCGTGGATCTAATATGGATATCCAAATGTCCGTCTATATCCAGGATATAGAAGATATTCTAATGGATATTCAGCAAAATATCTAATTGGTATTTTCCAGAAAATACAAGAAATCACAGAGATATCCACAGAATATATTTTGTGGATGTTCAATATATCCAATATGGATATCCAACCAAATATCCGTCTATATCCCAGGATATAGAATATATTGGGATATTCACTAGTAATACCACTAGAGGTCAAATTATTTCCGGAAAAAATTTCCTGATATTAATTTGACCTCGCGTGGTATTCGGTAAGAAAATTCCACGCCGAATTATGGTTGAAAATTAAATATTTTTAAAATTTATTTTTCGTTTCTCAACAATGCAAATTATTTTCTCCAAGTCACCAGTGAAACATAAAAGGTGTTGTCGCCTTGATTGTTGAGTTGTCATGGTAACTAAGTGAGACCCTAACCTCGAATATAATTTCAGTTTTGAAGTTGTCAAGCGGCCCGACGTAAAAAAATGTTTCGCTGCAATTATTTAGGCCTTCAAATTGCTTATTTCTACTCATTGTAGTTGCATGGGAATACCATTTGAAAATAGAAAATAGTATATTCTTTAATTTTACGTAAGTTTTGAATAACTACAAGTGGTAGAAAATTGTTTTTCTGCGTTTTTATTAACATGCGTTATGAGCGCTTTAAAATGGTATGAAATTCATAACCAGCGTCAGCAAGCATCAATCGTAGGAGGCTGTGATCATTGTATTTTGACAGTTCAATACATTAAATAACTCGCGTTTTGTTGCGATAAAGAATATTGCACAGCAAGTAAAACCAACAAAATTACCTATTTGTTTAAAAATGAATCGATTTGAAAATCATACGCTATGCAAAATATGCGTGAAATTGTCTGATGTAATGATCAATCATTGCACCATGACTTACTTACTCGGATTAATAGAGGATTGTGGCTCCAACTTGAAAAACGAAAATTTGTTCCGAATTGTCCACGAATATTTGCACCTAAACTACGCAAAATTCAAAGTGCTGAATGGAAAAAAGGTGAATAAATTAGTGTCTAAATATTATATATATTTTATTAGACATAGACACATAATTCAAAGCATCCAAAGTCCTGCATTTTCGCCATTAAGAAGAAAAGAAGTGGCCGAAGAATATAGAAAACACCTTAGCATTGTAACTAAAATGTATCAAAACTAAACCTATTATGTGAACAAATAAAAACCAGTCTGTCAAAAATGGTCTGTTATTGTAAACGTCAAAAAATTTCCAGTATAATTCGCTGTTGGGTACCCCACGAGAAAAAAATTTCCACTAAAATACCTCCGTTGCCATGGTGATCTGTCAAAAACACGTATTTTGATTGGTTCAAAATTACAGGTGTGGAATTTTCAGCAAAATATTTTATGGGTATCTTTAGTAGATGTTCATAAGTAACCAATGAATATTGAATAACGTCGAAAGAAAATAGCAGAGATAAAAAATATTTTCAACACCCTGCCTTTGATTTTGCCCACTAAGGAGAAAGTCATCCTTATTAGGACTCTTCAGCAATAAATCAAAATTCACGACTCCAGTCTCTAATGGAATGAATAGGACACACATTTCGATCGAACTCAATTACAGCGGGTCGAGCATGAGTAGATGCGATAGTGGTATCGCCATCTATACTTAGTAAGCAGAATCAAATAATATCTAGTGGATATCTACGATGGTTTGCGTTCGCGCCTAGACTTTGATATATTTAGTGGATGTTCATGGGATATTGAATACACCTTAAAAATTAGTTTTAAATATCCGAACGGTACTATTAGCCACAATGGCGTAATTTTTTAATAATTTGCTATATAATTACTATTATTTATGGACATTTGCATGTCTACAAATTACATTTCATGGATATAAAATAGATATCTACCATGGACTGGACATTCAGTGGATATTGGGATGTTCAGTAGATATCCAAAGGATTTGGTGTGCTGTCTGGGTAGATAGATAGATAGATAGTGTTACTGAAATTAAATATTTAGGTTAAACTTTACAAATTTTGTAGACTATTTGTGTAAAAATGAAACTCTGAAACAAAATTGGGGTTTTCAGTTGAATTTTGCAAATCTTGTCCCAATAGTCCAACTCTTAATTTTTAACAGTACTATATCACTTCATTTTAATTATTATAACTGACTTTTGCTTTTATGCTCAAAAGGGCACATAAATATATTACTAATATTACAGAATATGTGTATTAGAATTATTCAAATCAAATCAGTTTATTCGCCATAAAAGGACATTCACATAGTGAAAGCCACTTATCAGGCTAGTCAAGTTTAAACAATATTAAAATTTTTAAAAACAATTATCTTAAAAAATAGTAAACACTTAATAATTATATACATAAGACTGCTTATATTATTAAAAGAAACATACAATTTAAAATTTAACAGATTATGATACCTTTATTGTGTAGTTCAAGAATTGAGGAACTGTTACTGTAGAGGAAGTTAATAATTTTATTTTTTATGTTGTTCCTTGGTCCGAACATTTTCATTTTATTAAAACAATTAACTCCTATATAATTGGGAGAATTCTGACTCACTCTCTGTCTTGAGAAGGGTGCATGAATGTCATCATTATGGTGGGTATTATATCAGTGAATTTCAATGTTTAAGGTGAACTTGTTCTTATTATCATAGATATACAGTATTAATTGTAAAATATATAAAGAGTGCAGTTAGAATTTCATATTTCTTAAATAGATTTCGGCAGCTTGCTAATGAATGAGCTCTATCCATACATCTTACAATTTTCTTCTGCATGATGAATGCTCTATTTATATGTGAGGAGGAACCCCACACCAACAAGCCATATTGTAACTGAGATTGTACCAGTCTGAAATATAATATTTGCAAGATGTTAGTTAATGGAAACTTTATCCCTAAGACTTCTCATAACAACAAGTGCTACTCAGCTTTGAGCATAGTTTATTGATATGAAGCTTAGGATCAAGAGTTACACCTAAAAATTTCATTGATTGAGTACTTTCTATCGATTTTCCAGAAAGTTTAATTAGCAAATCTTCATCAGGAGTAATATTTTTTGGTAGAAACCTCATATATAAGGTTTTCTCGCAATTTAGCTGAAGGCCATTTTCCTCACAATATCCCTCAAATTCCATTGTGACATTATTTCCATTTTCTACTAGGGTACTGACACATTTCTCAGACAGTATCATCTGCATAAAAAACAGCTTTATCTGATGTTTCACAAGTGTTTGAAATGTCGTTTATAAAAATTATAAAGAATATTGGCCCAAGCAATGTGCCTTGGGGAATGCCTTGCCTAGACTGTAATAGATGTATCAATTATTATTATTATTATTATTATTATTATGTTAAAAGAAATTGGTTATATTAGAAGAGTGAATGCCTTAATTATTTATAAAATAATGAATAACAAAGTTCCATCATATCTTACAGAATTACTAACAAGATTCAATCATCACTCATGTCATTAAAGTCAAAGGACAACTTTGATGTAGATTTTACATGTAAATCCTTTTTAGCAGGATCTTTGCTATGCGAAAGTGTTCGCTTTCTCAATGATTTACCTGTCAAAATAAAACATTCTCCTATGTTTAATAAAAATATTTACAAATTCTTTATAAATGATAGAAAAATTCTCCAAAGGAATTTGTAAAGTATTCTTTCAATAGCTATTAAGCTAAATAAAGTGTTATTTATTTATTACCCAAGTTAGGAATGATAAATGTTCTGAGAGATTTTAAAGAAAGTGTAGGAACCACAAATTAATGAAAAATTTGCTGAAGTGGTTTAAGTATTGGTTTAAGTTACAAAAATACATGTATTGTTATAGTTTCATAATCAAATGCAACTAATCAATGGGTAGCAAATTTTTACTTATTTGCTCTTAAAATAGGTATCTTAAACTAACTACATACAGTTTTAATAAGTATAAGTTAACTGTTCGAATATACCTAATTGAAAATTAGTTTAAAGGACTGTTCTTACCTTAAACCCTCTGTTTAACCTACCTCCACCACCCCTTGGTGGAGGTACACTTGAATGAGACTTTTTAGGGGTACTGCCTTTACTCTCTATTTTCTTTTTTAAACTGTGTGAAGTAGAAGAATGAAACCTTCCTGGACAAGCTTTATGTGATAAAATGTCTCTAGGGTTAAAAACTAGTCTACATTCTTTACATTTTGTGTATATTCTTTGTTCCATTTTTGGAATGGTACCATACAACATAACATCTCGTCTTGGAAGAAGCTGAACACTAGGAACAGTCTTGTGATCTCTTCGCCGTCCATCATCTAAAATTTTCAAAATTGTTTTTTAATTTACTTAAAAATATACACTATAATTAAATGGATAACAAGTAAATATGTTTTAGTAATTTATAAAACCATTAGCCTACCAAGATCTAAGTCGATTATGTTCTTAATAAGATCCCATTCTTTTATATCTTCAGAAAAAGAAAAACTTTCGAAATAATCTTCCATATTCATACTATAAGACATATAATATTTATAATAATTAAATGCTGAACTACTTAGAAGTATTAAATATATACTTCATGATATACGATAGCGATATTCTGTATTGCCATTTGCCATAATTTATTTAATACATCTTGCATCGTTCATCGCTGATGTTTGTCATTGTTGTCATTAATACCATAGAAAATACTTTCATGAATACTTTCCACTCAGCTGATTAGCTGATGAAAGAAATTGTTATCTGTGTAGGAAATTAATTATTTCTCTAACCAAAATATTTTTTTATGAATAAATATACCAAAATTAGGTAAATATTTTTCATTTACTAAAATGATATATAGATAGGAACAAGTAATCAAATCAATCAAAATCAAATCTTTATACAATAAAATTGTCAAATCGACTTATGGCCAGCGTTGCCAGATGAAAATTTGCTGGAACAGTAGATGGGCGAAAAAAAAAACAGTAGATCATCGAAACTGTACAGTAAATATATAATTATAATTTGCAGTGTAATAAATAAAAACAAACAAGTTTTGGCTTTTATACCCAAATTAGAAATTGAACAAAAAATAAATTTGTAAACAAAAAAAAAAAAAAATTAAATTTCTTTTAGATCAGTCTGAATTAGATAATTCAAATACGTTGTGTTTGTCATGCATTATCTTAATATGATGTGCCCTATTAATTCTTTGTTGCATTTTAAATCAAACCATGATGATTATTTTGAAATAGAATATTTTTTGTATGAAACAAACGTCAATACTCGGCTGTATTCAACTTATTACGCCGCTTTGACTTCAGTAGATTTACTGTTAACACAGTAAGTATGGCAACACTGCTTATGATCAGATGCCAGATGGAATGACAACTTGCCAACGATACATCGATGTTTTAGATACATCGATATATCGGACTTAAAATTCGATGTTTTATATTTCGATATATCGTAACATAGATTGGACTCTTTTTGGGCATACACAAAAGGATACCTGTCGCCGACTACACTTTCTTTCAACCAATCACCAACATGTATTCTTGACAGGATAGAAGAATGCATGTTGAAGATTGGTTGGAGGAAAGTGTAGTGGCCGAAATTGTTCTGTGTATGCCCAGTCACGTTTATGCACCTCCGAACGGTCACGGAACGTATTACTTCTATTAGCCATTCCAACGACCTCTCAAAATACTGACAAATGGTGAGTGACAGTTTAGATATGGCAACCCTGTGGCCTTCTGTCATTGACAGGGACAATGATAGATATATACACAAATAATCGACGAAAAGTAGACTTTTGAAATTTCATAAAAATTAATATTTTTTATTGCATGGGTCGATAGAGCTCCTTCCGTACTTCATTTTAAGGGTCTGTCCGTAAACCCACTGGTCATTTTGCTCTATCTCTTACTGTTTCCGAGATATTCGCGTTTAATGTTTTTGAATGGCTCATAATAGAAAATACTTCCTCGCTCTTCTGTTGTCCTGATACCAGAATTATATCAAGGAAATTGCAATATTAAGTGGCTTGGATCTGATAACAAAGAGCGAGTAGGAATGAGAAGGTATTTAAAATAAGGGGAAAATTATTAAATAGTTGCATTTTATGTTTATTTTAATGTCCGATCTTTGTTTCAGAATAATAAAAGAACGAGAAGATATATGGAACGTGTTTATTTTTGCACCCATATTGATGCAAATTTGTGTTCATATAAATGAAAGTAAGAGAAATGACTGTTAGAAATTCGTTACTATATTAAGGTATAAAATTTTAATTAATTTTTCTGTTACTAATTGTTGATAGGCAACACATAATACACCAACCTATAATGATGATTGCCTGTATTTATAGAAGTCGTCTATTCGCGAATAGCTGAAATAATAGTTCTAGATTGCGCTTGTAAATTTTGCCATCCATTTCTTTTTCTTTTACAAGTTTTAAAACCAAAGGTTTAAGGGAAATAAAGTTTACTAACAAGATATTTATTTATGAAAAATACATGATTTAAGACATAACAAAAGCATAAATATATAATTTAAATAAAACATACAGGGTACGGTTGCCCTTTTTGAAAAGTTAAAAATGGACGTAGGATGCTGACAAGGGCTCTGATACAAAAAGTCCTCATCCTTCTAAAAAAAGGTCGTCGAGCTCAACGAAAGAAATTCTCCTCGTTTTACCGAGCCATCTAAAAAAATAGGTCCTCAGCATATACTTTTAGGCATTTCTTTATAAGCTTACTACAACATACTTGGTTACAGTATTGTGGTTACTGTGGTGACATTACGCATACCATGGTTTCCCTATTATTGAATGTCATATGTCAAATTTAATTTAAGTTTGGGGATTTCTAAACGGAATTAGAATTTTAGAAATTTTAGGATGTTTTGGCTTTGTTATTTTTTATTATAGTATGTTCTAGTAAGGTTATAAATAAATGCCTCGTTAGGTATAGCTACATATGCTTTGGTAACATGTAACCAAAGCCGAGTAACCAAACGTTATAAAGAAATGCTCTGGTTACAGAAGTATGTTCTGGTAAGCTGATAAAGAAATGCCTTTTGTACAAAATCATGTCCCTTCTAAAAATATGTGCTGTAGTAAAAAAAGACATGTGTCGTAGAAAACAAAAGAGGACATTTGCCGTAAAAAGGACATTTTAAGCTTTAAAAAGTCACAAGGACATTTTGCTCCAAAAAAGGACAGGTGGCAACCTTAATACAGGGTGATTCATTGAGGGTGGCGACCTGCCGTATCTCAGAATATCATGGAGATTTTAATTACCCAGTAACCACAAATAGTCGGCATTCGCTCGGCCTGGGATATTGAGTACATACTTGGATTGTCGTCGGGGTTGCTTCTGAGCCGGGAGGACCATACCATTTGACGTAATGTAGAGGTAGAAACCGCATGTGGTCCATATTTGGCTTTGCAGACGTGGGAGGCAACTTTACGGGCCAAACACGGTGAATATTTGGCTAGCTGGGCATGGGAGGCACCCTTACATGTCGAATTATATATAGATATATAAACGCGGCTACAATGAAGTGGGATGCCGACATTCGGCTGGGCGGACATGCCCTACCTATATACCGAGCCATGGAAGTTATTCTTAATCTCACTCCCCTTGATATTTACATCAAGGAGGTTGCTCTGACGACAATGACACACTTCCGCACGGTCGGAATAGAACCTGATGTAGGATCTGGTGAGACGAGACGTCACTTTTGGCATTATCCATTTAAATTGTATTAGTTAGAGTGACAAAAGGAAGAGAAATGACATGACAATTAAGGATATTATAGAAAAGTGTTACCTTGAAATAAAAATTGACCAATTTAAAAACATTTCTCCTTTAAGTAATTCTGAGATACGACTAGTCGCCACCCTTAATGAATCACTCTGTATAATAGGAAAAACATTTTCTAAACATAGTACAAAAATACAATTATTTCATTGACTGTAAGGAGTTATAGCAAACAAATTATTTTAGATAATTAAAAAAAAAAAAATAAAACCTATACAGTCAAATCGAGTAACTTTGGACCAATGGAGCAACATTAGACCAGACCATGAATTTTATTTACTGTTATCGTCTAAAAAGGAAAGATATCCTAATATTTACAATAGGACCCATAGCTAATTACAACTTCAACCTTGTCTGTAAAAAAAATTAAATCTTAAATACAAATTAATTATAACTAATAACTGACCTGGGCTCTCTACATTAAAACTAATATGGTTTAATCTTCCCCGTAGCCTTTAAATTCTAAGAAATCAGTAATTTCTCTAGATGAAAATAGTTTGGTCAATGTTACCCCAAATCCAATATAACTTTGGACCACACCCAAAAATATATTTTTTTTATATGTACAATAAATTTTAATTTTTTTAGTTTAAAATTCATATAGATCATTTTACAGGAACACCAGTAGGTGCATCATTCAATATAAATGTGCAACAATAACAAATAAATTCAGATTTATAATAAAAACCTTATTAATATTTCAATTAATCTAGCAACAAAAGCCTTTAAATGATCTGAAAATTATTACAATGCGTGGGTTATAAAAGTAACAAAAAATGACCATATAAATCACGAGCATGTCTTTTGAATTTTCAAGATTATCTGCTAAGGAATTCATTTCATTTAAAGGCTCAACAAGTTTAAAAATAAAAGCTGCATAGTTTCGCTTCTGACAGTACGACCTCGATGCGCGACTTTTAATTGAAGAGGGTAATGTTATTTACAAAGAGGTAACTTTGTAAAAATCGATTACACTAAAACATATTGAACATCATTATCAAAATTCGGATGAGTGGATTAGTGATTGTACAATAAAATAGAAGTTATTTCCAGTGGCGACTCGTGATAATACGAGATCGTAGTGTCAGATTTTTAAATTTTTTGGGGTGCCACGCCAATTTTTTACCCAAAAGTCGCTTAAAAAACTGACTTTTGACAAAAATTTATCACGGTATTGTCAAAATAGGTATAAAATTTTAATTAAAAAAATAAATGAAGGATGGATACTTTTACATCTATTATATGACTACTATTTATGGGGTTTCTAACACAAGTTTTTCCAAGAAACAGGCCGTCAGGGTTAGTCTTATCCTAAACTTTGCCAATAAATTACTCAAAATGTATCAAAGAACTCTGTAAAATTAATTAAAAATTAATTTACCCTCAGTAATTAATGCTGAAAGTCCTTGCAGTTTATTACCATAAAGAGTCTTTAGGTTCATATACCAAAAAAATTACAAAAATAAAACTATACCTATATTTATAGTATTTACACACGCGCACAAAGTTGTTTGATATACTAGTTTTAAAGTTTCCGATAATTGAAGTCCATTCTTCTTTCTTTTTTGGTTGCAAAGTTTTCGATGACTTTATTATTAAAATTTTCAATTCCATTTAAAAAATGTTTTTCTGTGGACATCATACCTAAAGCACTAAGCCTTTCTTCCTTCATTGTATTTCTGAGGAATGTTTTAATCCGTTTAAACATTGAAAAACAGCGCTCTGCTTCAGATGTTGACATAGGTATTGTTATCAAAATACCTAAAAGTTTAAGAGTTTCGTGAAATGTACAATTTAAACCTACCTCATTTAATAAAATTGACAGCGGGACAGCTCCGGAGATGTTACTTAATTCGTCTCTCTGATACAATACTTGTAATTCATTTTTAAGCATACTTTTGTCTAAAAATGAAAATTGTATACATGTTTCATTGAGGAATGATTCGGGAAACTGATGCCTATAAACCGAAAACTTCTCCGACATAAATAAATTAGAAGCGACCAAATGCCCAGAGAAGTTGAACCTTGTTTTTATTTGCAATAAAACGGCATCGCATATTTCTAAGGCTTCGCACTTTCTGCTGTTCCCTTCAATTCGTTCCTTTTTTATTATTGGTTCATCAGTTTTTCCTTGCGACATGTTTATTTCTCCTTGAATATTGTCAATAATGCTGTCCATTTGCTCCCGTATACCTTGAATTGTTGCTTCGAAATTCTCCAAATCTTTCTTGACCTTAACAGAATCTGTGCATACTTTTTGTAATTGGTTAAAAATAATTTCCACGTAAGGCATTATTTGATGAAAAATACCTAACCAAAATATAAAATTTGTATCTTGAAGTTTTAATTTGTACCCACTTGCTTGATTAATGGAAGACGAATCACATGAAGTACTTTCTATAATGTCCACAACTGTAATGAGGTCTTTTCTATTCTCATAAACAGTATGAACACCTCGCGATTGAAAATTCCAACGCGTTTGGGAAGATCTTGGCAACCTGCGATTAACTACCTCATCCAAAATTTTTGTTCTATGAGGAGACGTGGAAAAGAAAGAGCACAAACCAGATAAATTAGAAAAAAATATTCTAGCCTGCTTATTGACAGAACATGCACTTGTCATAACTGAATTCATCTGGTGTGCATAGCAATGAACGTAATTTGCAAGAGGATATGTTTGTTTAATAATTTTTTGCACACCATTTAATCCAACACTCATTATAGACGCGCCGTCATAGCTTTGAGCAATTAATTTATTTGGACTATGTTTTAATAATGGATGTAAAACATTTAAAATGCATTCAGCGATTGATTTGGCATCGTGTCCTTCGAGCACGTAAAACCTCCAAAATCTCTCAACTGGTCGTCCTTTGCACAAATATCTCAAAACTATAACTAATTGAAAGTCACAAGCAACGTCCGTCGTTTCATCGGCAATCACTGCAACAAAAGGAGAATTTTCTATTTCTTTCCTAACTTCTTCGTGATAAACATCTAACATGCACTCAAGAAGTTCATTTTGGGTTGTTTTTGAGGTACCTTTGAAAGCTTTTGAACTTTGAATATGAACCTTTAAGTCGTTGTCTAATTCGGCGCTAAAATTCACCAGCTCCCTAAATATGCCTCTATTTTCTGAATTATCTTTCTCATCGTGACCCCTTAAAGCTAACTCAAAAGCTCCACAAAACCTTATACAATTTATAATTTGATTTAAAACATATCGATTCTTATCCACTTGTTGATTATGTTTAATTAGAGCATCACGATAAGCCGAATTTAACTGGGTTTTTATATTTAACTTACCAAGCATGGAAAAGCTAAAAACATTATTCATGTGCACTTTGGATTTTTCATGAGATTTCATTTTATCCCATATATGGACAAGATCGTCTGTGCCTTTTTTTGACCAAGTCTCGTCACCTCCAAACAAAACACATACAAAACAAAACAGTTTATTAGTTTCTTCGCAACCACACAACCAATTATTTTTATCATAAATAGTTTTATTAAATTTACGACACCGCGATTTTTTCCCATTTCCACTTTGTTTTTCAATTTTTAAATCGGGAATTGGCCGGCCTAATTCTTTAATTTGTAGTTTTTCTTCTAGCGAAAAACCAATAAAAGAGTTTTTTAAGACGCCAATTTTATTCATTGTCACAATAAATTAAAAACTAGGAAATAAGATATTTAAACAAGTTTATCGAAAACAAAAAGACACACATTAACGTTACTAACACTTCGTAACGTAATGAAAAACTTAAAAGCGCGTAAAGAAACTCGGTTAATTCAGTCAACAATCGATATTATCCAGAAACCGCGATTAACTGAACCGCTGTGCCCGGCACAAACTTTCCTTGATTTTACCATTTAAATACAAGTAAACTGTCCAATATAGCCCCATCTCTGTCGCTCACATATGCTGCTGGTAAAATCTCTCTCTCTCTCTCTCTCTCTCTCTCTCTCTCCCCCCTAGTGCCTGCTGAGAAATGGCACCGGTTGCGGCGAAACCTTGGAGACCTTTGCAGCGCGAGGTTGTCACATTTTAAATAATTTATGAATATAAAAAGAAATGCATAAAATAAAATATGATAAGACTTTTTTAAAATAAAAAAATATTCTTGCATCAAAAATAAGGTAGTGCCATGGCACAGTGGCACTACCTCACGAGCCGCCACTGGTTATTTCTAGGAAGTGACGTGTTTTCCCCAAGCTGCTGTTATGCTGAATAAATAACTCTTGTAGTATAGGTGTACTGGTACAATAATTTTAGTGTTGGAGAAGTGAACTTCAACGTCTGAAATCATAAATATTTAATGTAAATAAGAATTATGTCATAAAAAAAACTTTTGAGTTTAAAAACGAATCAAGCTTCCTCTAAAATCGTTTATAATAATTTGGACAGGTATACATAGGGTGTCCTCCAAAATAATGTATATCTTTTGTCTGTTAAAGAAATACTATATAATTTACAATAAGTATGCCTTATAAAATAAAAGCAAGTAAAAATGTATTATACTATTTCTGAATGCACTAACTTTTAGTGAGATTCTTTATTTTTAATTTAATTGTCTTTGTTGTCAAGTTTTCCAGATTTTAGTTATTACATTACATTCAAAAACTTACCACTAGAAAAACATAGAGACTTGAATACATAATAACTCATTATTTGATATATGTCTGATTGCTGAACTAATATTTGTCATCATGTAATAGTAAAGATACATCTTTGGAGTTTGGACTCGAAGGTATTTGGTTTTGTTTTCTTCTGTGATAACTGTTGAATCTGTAATGCAAAAATGTTGACAATGCAAAGAGTGATCCACAAAGAATGTTTCTAAAGTAGGGCACCACATGACCGACAAAGACAGATACAAGATTTAGAGTATTTAATATTATTATTTAGTCATATGTCTATGTTAATTTTGGTTTAATCTGAAACCTCTTTATAATTGTCTATTTTCTCATTTTCAGGTTTAGAACAAATGGGTTTACAAAAGATGTATGAGGAAAAAATTATATTTTTATATTTGGTAGGTACAGATATTAGTGCTTCCCGTTTATCATGAACACAAAAAAAGGTTTTGTCAAGAAGTTTGTTGACAATCCCTGCTATATCTAAAAAAAATATCAGTATAAGTTTAATATGTATGCATTAATTTTAACTAATCTTTTAGTCTGTGTATAAAATATTATGTTTCTGGACAAAGAATTTTATAATAAATAGCATGTTTTTAATAAATACCTGCATTTACAATTTGAAATGGAAAATTTTAAATTCAAATAAAATGTCAATCATCTTCTATACAATCACAAAATTACTGTCCTCTTTTTTCAAGAAAGTTGGCCAATTAGCCACTGGCCTGGTTTATTCGACAATTTGGTTAACATTTTTTTAGACTTTTTACCGTACGATATCAAGGGCAGTTAAAATGAAAAAAGAAGAAAATGACTACATTTCTTAAAGAAAGAAGGCACGAAAACCTCAAAAGTATAGAACAATGAAATAACCTAATATTTATAATTTATATAAAAATAAATGGATTAAAATCCTTTTAATCCTACTAATATCCTTCCTCCATGATTTAAATTTCCTGAAAGTAATAAAAGAATAAAAGTCTCATTTCAGACAGGTACATTGTATACCGAGAATCAGAGATTATGGTAGAACCATCAGAATTAAAGAATAAAACAATTTAAAATCACATTAACTCCTGATCAGGGGTATGGTATTGTTAGATTTCATTTAACATTTTCAATGTTTTAATTTAGTGCAAAGTGAAACTGCGCCATCGAGTTAGGAATGCTTTTTTTGTTCAATCCTTGGCAATATTTAGGTGAGAGAACAGGCAGATCAGCCAACACAATTATAATTGTAGCCCTGTAGCGCCTCAAGATTAAAAACCAAACCATAGATCTCTTTATTTCAAAAAATAGAATTCGTCATCGAAAAATCTCCAAATCTCAATGTTTTCGATTTGTCTTGCTATCTACTTTTCAAAATATGGTGATAATAAAACTTGGGTATATATAAAAGAAAACATGACAAATTACATGGTGGACTCGGTTGCTTTTTATCTATAATCGTTTACTTCTTTTTTCATTTTTCTCTGCAACTAATTAATGAATTATTTTGTAAATTAGCACATATGTAGAGCAGGACAGAAAAATAAAATTTAAAAAAGTTACCATATTAATCTTAAAGGCATCTAAGGTATAAACTAAAAAAGCAGGAACCAAATTTTATAAAAATCTAATAATTATCTTAAGCAGATAAATATCTACCTGTGAAAAGTTATTTTTTTCTCTACAGTAATTTTTCTGAATATTTCACAATAGAATTACACTATTTTACACATCACATAAACAAGAAATATAACCAAAAAACGGCCACAGATAACGGCAACAACACAGAAGGCAACCACAACGACCACAGAACACTTATTGCGACCTGTCAAAACTGTCAAAAGGCATTAATGATATGGCAACCCTGTTGGCATTGACAGGTTCAATGAAATATATCGTTAATATAGATTGCTCAAAGCGGTTCGTTTGCAATGGGTCATATTGCCTCGCAAGTACCCATAAATCAGAATCGGTTTAGCAAAAATGTATTTTCAAACTAATTTTCAGTCTTTAAATGTTGTAAAAAATAATTAACTACATTTTTACTTCAAGGCATGAACATCACAAAGCACGTATCTTCTAGAGACCCCACGCCAATGTTAAACTTTTAAACCAAATTAGCGCCACCTTGTGTTTGGAGCTGGAACTAAAATGACAATTGACAGATGGCGGTAAATTCAAATTGTAATTTTTAGGAGTAGGTAGTAGTTTTAAATTAAATTTTAAATGATTTCCACATAAATTATTTTATAAAATAAAGAATGGAACTAACTAGTAAGTTCGAAACTTTTATTTTACAAAATAATTTAGGTCGATTATACCAAATTTGAGGAATTAATTTGTTATAAGCAGGGGTCTGATGTGGAGAGTTGGTTCTGCATATTATTATTAAATAAATATAAGATATATCAATAAATAATCAAATAGAACATTCTTAAAATATGTTTATTAATAACTTAAATAAATATTATTAGATAAAAATAAATACAAATAATAATACATATTTAACGAATACTTACTCTCAAATCTTTAAAGTACCTATCAATAATTTAAATGTGAAGTAGAGACTAGGATATTACATTTTATTAACACTAAAATAATATATTTTATAAATGTCTTTTAAACCGAGGACAAATGTAATATAGGTATTGTATTAAAAGGTGAATCATTTTAACTATTCATTCAATGATAAATAGGTATTTTCCTTCCAAATACAGATGGTGGTATTACTCCACTGCTTTGTGTATTACTCTCTTATGTGAAAAATGATTTCGGAATCTAGTCCAGTGATAAATTGATTATCAATTAGTTGTTATACCCGTTTGTCTTTTTATGATGCAGATGCATGGTGAATCAATAAGTTTTTCTCGAAGTTTTCAACGTAGCACCCACAGGTAGCACCAAAATTATTGCAAAACACAGTAGCAAATAGAAAAGCAAAACATCACAATTTTGCAAATAACTAAGACGAAACTATAAACAGAAACCAAAAGCCAAAGCCAACAAAAAATCACTAAAATCAGACGGAAAAATGAGATTAACCAAAAACATAAATAAATACACGTCACATCTTTGGAGTCTTTGGTTAAGTTTTTCTCCCATAAAGCTTAAAAATGGAGTTAAGAAATCAGAATTTTACCAGTAGCCCCATCTAGAGTTTGGAGCAAATAGCATAAAAAATGTCAATTGTCGGTTTTGACCTTGGTCATTCACGTGGAACCTCTATGTGCTTTGTGATGAACATATATAATTTGAAAACATGGATGATCAGCCGTTTGCCGCGTTTGAATATCCACATCAAATGCATCTGAGATGTTGTGAATTTTTTATCACGTGATAGAGAATTAGATCTGAATGTAGATGTAATAAACAAACGCTCTAGACTTTATTGGTCACGTGATAAAATGACAATGACAAGTTAGAAGTTTATGCTTTTTAAATATGACTTTTGAGACTACAAATCAATCTAAATTTGAAATCTAAACAAAAATTAAACAAACTAATTACTTTTATATTCAAGATAGCATAAACAAAGGATAAATTGACAAACTTGGCTTTACAGAACACTTATTACTTCTCTGGCATGGAACGAACATCTCATTCATATCTCATTTCAAATCGAGATATAAAAAATGTAATCTGGACAGGTACATCTCGGATAAACAAACATAGATGTAGTAAATGTGTCCGATGTGGATAAAGAAACGCTCGAGATGTAAAAATGCATCGGATGTGGATTTTCAAACGCGGCAAAGAAATAAGGAGGAAGTAAACTGCACCAACAGTGAACGAAAGAACCTATTTATTAATAGGATAGGTTCTGTCGTGACGTCATAAATCGAGATTTGGCTAAAGCGCACTTTACCATGAGATTTGAGAAACTAGGCTATCCTGTTTTATAGTGTCAATCCTTGATCTTGCCATATCACCACATGGCCATGACTTATGACATTGTTGATGTTGACAATCTTGTCATCATTGCAGTGTAAACAGAAACTACAAAAAGTATTTATTTTTTAATTTTTATTTTTATTAGGGAACAAGTAATCAAAAAAAATGGGTGAAATGGGTCCAGGCGAATACTTCATTTGTGGAGGATTTGGTGGAATATGTACCGTATTGGTAGGCCATCCCTTAGATACAATAAAAGTAAGTTTTAATTAATGTTGATTCTATACCATCTTGAACTATTATTAAGTTGTTAACCTTAATTGAACTATTTTTATTAAAAAATAATTGTGAATTAATTTATCTTTTATAGTGCATTATTTTTGTTAAATGTAATTATCGTTTGCTGGTCTCTAATTACTAATTATATCACTGGAAAGGTCTTACTACTTTTTTGATTTCGTTAAAATGTATTGTGTCCTGTTTTTATTGGATTGATAAAAACATAATTTTTATAAATAGGGCACAAGGTATCTAAACCTCAGGTGTTCTATGTCCTCTACCTACTATAACAAAACTTAATTAAAAGTACTAGAAACTATTCTATTAAAGAACTTCATTTATTTAAAAAAGAATAAGTAATTGAAGGCTTAAGTGGACTATGTCATATTTTTAAGTATTTGAGTACCTAAAATAAAATGCAAAAAATATCAAGTAGAGCATATTGTTCATTTTTAAAATATGAATAGTTTTAATGCTAATTACTAATTGAGAAAGAAAATTCAAGTATTAGTTAATAATAAGTCTCATCTTGGGAGCATTTTCTATTGGATATCTTGAGTAGAGGGTGATAAAATTTTTTGTGCATATTCTAATATTAAAGGCAAAATACCAGTTTATTCTAAAACCAAATTTTTGTATACATAACCTTTGTCTTTGATTCTGCAACAATACTGTATGATTGGCACAATCGACATCTTAGTCAAATCACAGAATATCATTGCTACAGCTTTGTTAAATTATTTTTGAATAAGCAAGTTCAAGATAATAAAATATCACATCAGAAGTGCTCTTGTTGTGTTTCGCCATTTGTGAGTTCCAAACTGTTTTTTATTTTTAAAAGAAATATATTGTCTTGTTGGATCTCTTTTACAAGTAATCTCCAAACTACTATTAATAAGTCAATTATGGCAAGTTAATAAATTCAGTCACATGACCAGTTTGATAACTGAAATTATGCAACAGACCTCTGATAGATAATATTGTGCTAGTAATTAAAACACATAAATTTTCTCCTTTATTCATTATTCATATGTATGCAAAACTGGAAATAACTAGGTATATACAAGATACATATTGTAACATAAATAAACTCATTAATTTTTTTATTTACACTCAAATTAGGAAAGAAATGACCACTTGAATTCTTGTTCCATCTATCTGTAGAAAAATCTGATCAATTTTATGACAAAATAGTTTGTTTTTGTTAAGTGTCAGTGGAACACAAATTATGTGTTAATAATATCAGAAACATAATAAAAAAGCTAGATGAAAATTACTTGGTGAAAAATAGTGCAATCAAATTATTAAACAAAAGGGAATTGTTAGACCTAAAATTGAAGGATGATGAAAAATCTTATGGACCAAATTTGAAAAATATTTGAATGAACTGAAAAATGCAGTTGAAAAAGTTAACATATTTAGTAAACTTATTAACTTTCTACTAACATCAGAAAATGTCTAACATATTGTTGATATCGTAGACGCATTGCTAGTAAAAGACAAACTGAAATTATAAGTCCAAAAAGAAAGCAAGAATGAAAGCATTTTTCAAGCTCATACAACCCATGGTTTCGGAAACTTCAACTCAAACAAAAATTAGCAAAGTCAAAATCGAAACTCGAATGAAGCTGCTGATTCTAAATGTCAAGAAAATGGGCCCAAAAAATATAGAAGCTAGAAATTAGGCCACACATAGAAGTATTGTAGAACTAAGAACTAAGAAGAAATTTTGCTACAAGAATTAAGATATGGAACCTGTGCAAGAGTGTCAAATACAATAATTGTAGAAGAAGGAGAAGTGCCTGATAATACCCCAATTTACGAACAGATATAGTTTTACTAATTAAAAAAAAAAAATATGAAAAAGGCCTTTGATTAATGCTAAAAAAGAAATTGTCAAATGATTATTCAAATACCAGCTTGTCAATTTTTCATGGTTCATTTGTAAAGAGCATAAATCAAATGTTTTTTTATTACTTATTTTCTGTGTATCTTTTATTATAAGAAAATATATTTCTAAGAATTTTTTATACCTCTGTTAATTTTTAATTTTAAGATACATACTGCCTCCATATTTTTGTTTTGTTTTAGACATACAGAGTATGCAGATTTTTGAAATGAGCATAATGACCTCTCTAAAATCAAAATAGATGGGTAAAGACAAAATAGAGTTTAATAATGTAATTACATAGTTATTCTAAATAAATTGATTCATAACTGTATTTTATTTTTCATTTAAAATAAGTGACATCCATTTTCTAGCATTTACTTACAGCAAGAATTCTCTAATTGTATTGATTGTTCTAATTTTAAGTAAAGGCTAGAAAATTGGGAATTGCTTCAAATTTCATAAATTTTGGGGCCCACGAGTATTTAAATAACTTTAAATGGTAGTGTCCTACTTTACCGACATTAGTTTAGCATGATGCTACTGAGCTACTGGGTCAGCATACTTGGTACCAATTATTTACAGGGAAAACTTGAAAACTGATACCCTTGTTCTAGCCCTGTGTGTCTAAAGATATATTTACACTTTGATTAATATTTTCAATTTTTGACAAAAAACTGTACTTGATAGTACTGAAAAGCATGTTTTTTTTTTAATCCTTTGGACTGTTCACCCAGGTGTCTCCAGGACTCCCAGGGTTCAAGTGTTGCCATTTAATATTACTACATACCCATTCATTTTATCATCATTTGCGCCACATGCTAGATGTTTAACGAGAATCTGAGATCTAACTTATTCCCTATCGGTCACGCATCCAAGATAGGGCCGTAGACATTACTGCTAAACTTTAGGGACAAGAAAAATTAAACGATATCGACAGTTTTCATCTCCGGTTAAAAGTCATATTATAAAGTATGATTTTAAAATATATATTTTTTAATGGAAGTATTTATGTATGAATATTTGAATAAAACTGTCTATTTGGTACCTGCACAAAATCAGTAATCAAGTATTTGGCGTTATTTTATTTTTTTAATCTTTTATTTATTTATTTATTTACTTATTTATTTATTTATTTTTATTCATGTCATTTAGTAAAGTAAAAATATGTAGCGGGAGGTCCAATAAAAATTAATTTCGGCCATATTTCAGGAACTGTTTATAGTACAGCTTTTGATGGCTTAAAAAAGTTATAAAAATATGTATTCAGTAAATTTTTTTTTTTTATAAATCATAAAATTCTATTTCTAATAGATATTATTAAAAACTATACAAATTAGTGACAGAAAATCATTATACAGTGTGTGTCATAAAGATGAATTCATAAGGGATTTTGTTTTATTACAATTGAAAAGAACGTCTAATTTAAAAACTTAAAACAGCTCATATCAAAGTTAGCTACAGACATTCGTTATTTGTCAAATTCGTATTTTTTTGAAAAATCTTTCATGTTTTTGCATTATTTTAATATTCGTAATATTATTAACAATGAATGCAAAATTGTCAGTTAAGGGGGCGTATCAAAAAATTTAAGAAAATAAAATTTTCGGAATATCTTGCCAAAATCGGCATGTTGACGTAAAATGACTTTTAAAAAGGCAAAAAAATAAAATCGGGGAGAGTATTATTATTATTATTATTATTATTATTTATTATTATTATTATTAGTATTATTATAAGTATTTTAGTGTTTGGTATTGAGTTACGCCATCTATCTGTCGTCCTATGATTCTCTAAATAATTTCCAGGTTTTCTCGTGGCCAGTTTAGTCATTTAAATTTTACAAACGGTTATTGGGATATGGTCGAAAGTCAATCTTATTGGTCCACCCGGTACATTTTATACATTAAAGTGACAGTCTTTAAACGATTTATTTAGTCTCCATTATATTATTTTAAAGGTCCGTCTGCAGACAATGGCCATTCCTAAAGCTGGGGAGTTGCCAATGTACATGGGAACATGGGACTGTATGAAAAAAACAGTAAGAAATGAAGGCGTTAGAGGTCTATATAAGGGCATGGGTGCTCCATTAGTAGGGGTAGCTCCAATTTTTGCAATTTCCTTCATGGGTTTTGGTGTAGGTAAAAAGATTTTTGGTCCAAATGATGGTAATCGTCTTACTTACACAGAACTATTTGCCGCTGGTGCGTTTTCTGGCATTTTTACAACCTTGATAATGGCTCCAGGCGAGAGAATAAAATGTTTGCTGCAGATTCAGCAGGGAGCAAATGCGCCAAAAGTGTATAATGGACCTGTAGATGTAGTTAAGAAACTTTACAAGCAGGGAGGACTTGGTAGTATTTACAGGGGAGCTGGGGCTACACTTTTAAGAGGTAAGTCCATGGTAAAATCTTTGTTTGATTGGGAAACGGAAATAAGTTGACTGAGGATAAATGGGTCTTGAAATATCTATAATCGAGATATAAGGTGTTTTATCGATTTAACTCAATTCTTTCTAGGCCCATAAGTTACGAATCACTTAGTATATTTTTTGATATTTGGTACATACGCTTTGCATCCCTTGCTTAAACAAGTAACACGAAAAATTCTGATCCGGATTAACAAAAAATTAATAAATTGTGTCATCAAAATAATACATATCAGAATTTTTGTGTGAAAATGGAGGGGGTGGCATCTTAAAAAAAATGAAGTAACTTTTTAAATAGAACAGTTGGAATCTACGATATTTTCTACATACATCCTGAACCTTCATACTTCGGATATGGGGTTGGCATTTAAAAATAGTTACAAAGTACAAAATTCATGTCTACTTTAAATATGTCAAAAATTAGATTTGTATTTCTTGTTTAACTATCTTTATATACAGTCTTCGAATTCTTGACATTAATTTATGACAACACGTTAATTGCATTAGCTTATGTGATTATCCACAGTCCCAATATCAAAAGTTGTGTTTAATAAATTATGTCACGAATTAATAAAATATGACATCTCAATAATTTACAGTTACATTATGAAAGCAATGTCAAAACATGACCTTGCTAAGAAAAAGGTGTGTTGCATTTACTGTACAAAACATGACAAGCTTGCCTACCAGATATTTACAGCTTTAATGTAAGCATGATTAAAATTTCTTGAGAAAATTATATATTTTATTTTTTTATATTTTTAGCTTTTATTTAAATTTAAATAGGGTTGGTAGCTTTTTCAATAATACAATTAACATTTTCAAAGGGTGCAGTATTATTTAAAAAAATTAACAAGATATTTTTTACCGGTTTTATTACAAAACTGAGTAAATATTAACAAATCCCAAACGAATTTCTGTTTATAGTTGTATTTTACACAAAATAATGTTCATTACAATTTGCACAAACATTTAAAAATACTGTTTTCGTTTTAAATATTTCATCTCAACTAAAACACATTAGCGAAATGAATTTATCTTGACCTCTATTGATAAATTAATAAAAAATTAAAACATTTTATATTTCATTACTTATTTCACTTTTTTTTTGTCTTAGTTTTCTAAGTCGTTTCTTCATCCTTCTGTGCTTCAAGCTTTTTTTACTCGATTGAGGTGAATTAAGGATTTGGTTTGATGCAGAAGTGGTAATTTCACTCTCATTAGTAACATTAACGTCTTCTGTTTCTAATTGATTTTTTAGTTTGAGTCTTCTTTCATTTATTAATTGATGTTTGTTCAATTTGTATTTAAGTTTGTCTAACTTGGATAAATTATTAAAAGAAGTTGCTAGGGTTGTTGATTTAATATCGGTTGACTTTTGGTAAATATCAGTAGTGTTTTTAAAACGCTTTCTTAGTTTAGGTTTGTAATCTGTGCATCTTAAAATTTTTCTCATTGCATGGAATACACTCCAGTTTATAAACTGTTGAGGTTCTGAACATTTAGGAGCTATCTTATTTTCGTATATATATTTAAAAGTAAATCTATTTTCTTTATTGCAAGAAATACCTTTGTCATTTGAGAATTCGCATGGTTGAACAATCCTTTGTTTAATTTTGTTAACTATCATTGGTTTCCAGTCACTCATTTCACAAGAGCAATGCCAAGGATTTTCGTTTAACCTTAATAACTTTGGAATGATTTTTGAAAATATATCTCTGGGTAGCTGCTTGAATTTATTTCCGTTTAAATAAAGTTCTCTAATATTAATTAAATGGTCAAAAGTACCTGGAGGAACGTATTCTAACAAATTTTTAGATAAATCCAAATATTGCAACTTTGTCAAGCCTATAAAGCCATCCATAGAGATATTTACTATTTGACAATTACTTAGAACAAGGGTTTTAATCTGTTTAACTTCCAAGAATGCATCGTACTCAATTCTTCTAATATTACCTGTCATTATCAATTCAACGAGCTTTGGCATACCGGTAAAAAGATCTCTTTTCAGCAGTTCCATCTTTAAGTTATTAACAGTTAATTTTTGCATTTGTTCTAACCCAAAGAGTGAGTTTTTTACTAAAGTTAATGGAATAGCATCGCTACCTATTATTAAAGAATTAGTAGTGTTCATTACTTCAAAAGTATTTGAAAATATAACACTTATAGGATTGTTTGCGAAATTGGCTAGTTTTAGATTTGGAAATGGTGGAAATGACAATTCAGATAGTTGCGTGAAGTTATTAAAACTAAAATCAACGTATTCAAGTTTCAAGAGCCCTGCTAAATCAGTTAATTGAATGTCTAGTAAGTTATTGTGCGCTAAAGAAAGTGTGTTAAGATTAGGAGTTCCGTAAAAAGCAAAAGGTGGTATAAATTTCAATCCATTTTTCTCTAAAATCAAATATAGAAGATCGTGAAGACCATCAAACATTTCCCAATTGACATCATGTAAATCACAATTACTAATTCTTAGTAATAATAATTTTTTAAAGCCAATAAATATTGGAGTAGCCCCGTTGGCATCTCTTTCTTTTTTAAAAACTTCGTAAGGTACTACAATTTCATCTTTAGTATCTTTTTGTACTAAAGTTATGACGTGTGGGTTGTTATCAAATTTTTGAGGAAATTCGAAGGTTATATTCTCTACACTAACTTCGTTTAAAAATTTCATGACATATTCTTTGGAATTTCTAATCAAAACTCTTTCTAAATTTAGATATTTTAATTCTGGAACAGCTGCATCTATTTCGCAGATTAGGTGGCTCGAAAGTGGTTGATTTTGAAGATTGGCACCAGTCAGTTCAAGCGTTACCAGCTGTTCAAATTTTTTTAGTGAACTGGTTTTTATTGTTTTGTTTCCTGATTCGTAACCTTGAATGATTGTTAGGCTTTCTATGTTTTTAGGCAAGGTTTCGATGAGGTTTAAGGGATCCGTTTCTGTCTGGAGGATGCATATTGCTGAACGAATGATTGTTGGACCACGATCTTCTATAATTTCCACAGTGTCAACGGTTTCTTCGTTAAGTATCTGAAAATTGCAGAATAATGATTATAATTCTGATTATATTTCTGAAGAACAAAATTTTAAGCTAGAAAATGTCACCTTTTCTGTTGGTGTGTTGTACAGACCACCTGATAAAAGTCTAAATGAAGCTGTAGCATTATAAGATAATATAATTCCGACCATCATTACCAGTTATGATAATGTTTTAATACTAGGCGATGTTAATGTTAATCTATTCAACACAAATAATCACTTAAGTAAATGTTTGAATTTTTTTGGTCTCGTTCAGATCATTGACAAACCTACACATGTTACTGATCATTCTGAAACACTAATTGATCCAATCTTCTTAAATATACATAATAAATGTTTAAATCATGGCACAGTAAATGTTGATCACTTTACAGATCATAGAATGGCTTATTGTCACTTAAATATTAATTATAATGCGCATAAACAAAATTTCATAACTTATAGAGATTACAAAACTTTGACCCTCTGTCCTTCTGACACGAATTACAAAAAAATTCTTGGGAAAATATAATCCTTTTTAGAGATATTGACAGTAAGGTAAATTATCCAACGGTCTTTTTAATAAACATTGTCCATTCCGCACTGAAAAAATATGAACAAAACTCGTGAAAATTGGAATCACTATAAGAGACTGTACAACCTTAGTTTTGCTATTAAAGAATCTATTTCTCTTCTTTCGTTAAAAAAAAAAAAATAAAAAGGCAGCTGCTGATTTCTCAATCATAAAATAATGTTATATATATATTTTTTTTCTTTTTTGTTTTGTAATTTTATTTTTGCTTTCTTTTTTATTTTGTAAACTATTATGATATTAAGTATCGTTTTTGTTAATTCAGTATATTTTATTAATATAAATCCTGTATTGCGGTTAGATCTAAGTATAGCCTCTGTCAAATCTCGCCAAAATGAAATGTACACTTTAATTTTATACAAATAAAGGCCTTTTATTATTATTATTATTATTATTATTATTATTAATATTCACTCATACAGTGCTTTCGTAAAGTAGTAAATAAATTAATTTTTAGCCAAAATATCCATTCTTGGCATTGAATTATTGTCTACTATTTCGGTATTCAACTAAAGAACCCCTGCTTTTCTTACTGTATACCTCGGACTACTACAAACACGTAAATGATTGCGCAGTCCAAGTTGATGAAATTCAGCTGTTCCTTGACTTTTCGCCGAATGAAATCATTACTGCAGTTGATACGATTAATGAAGACCTTAAATAATTGACAACTATTCGTCTGATCATAACCTTCACATTAATGTTTCTAAATCAAAACTATTATTCTGTAGTAAAAAATATTAGACAATATATAAAGAACAGTACAACTCTGATGGTGTCTGGTGAACCTATTTCACATGAAACTGAGTATAAATTTAGGGTTATATGTTTAAATGATGTGTTACAGTGCTCTTCTCTTACTTTATTCTAGTAAATACACCCTACAGAACTAATTTACAAAACTAATACTTTGCCAAAGCCTTAAACTTTCAAAAATATTTTATGGACAAGTGTGTTTTCCTTGTTTAACAGTTGTTGATTGTAACCATTTGCAAATTATTCAGAATACATGCTGTAGGTTCTTAAATGGACTTTTCCCATGAATTAACTGTTAATAATTTATAAAAGTAAATGTTCCTTTCTTTTCTTTATAAAATACTTTCTACTGCGCCACCATTATATCTTATAAGCAGATTACTTAGGAAACAATTTTAATTTATTAATGCCTCGTCACTTTAGTGCTATTTATATTCGTAATTTTTCGTATAATGCAGTTGTGCTATACAACATTTTACACACCAATATTAAAAAATCACAGTATCTGTTTCTAAAAATGTTTTTAAAAAGAGACAAGTGTTAAATGTTAGGTAGAATGTCCTACTAATACCTAATTGTATAGATAAACCTCTTAGGGTTAGGTCACTGGCTAAATTTTGCCTATGCAAATTATATAAAAATTTTAATTTTTTGTGCAAATAAAGACTAGGGTTGCCACCTTTTTAAAAAGTGAATAAAGGACAATGATGCTGATAGGGAATCCGGTATACAAAAGGTCCTCATCCTTCTACTAACTTCTAAAAAAAAAAGAAGTCGACAAGTGTGTAACAAAAGAAAGTCCTCGTCCTCCTACTAGCTTTAAAAAAAAAGCTTCTCAGCTTGTATATTTTTGCACAATCAAAGAGTACAACAGGACACATGCCGTAAAAGAGGACATTTTAAGCTTTAAAAAGTCGCAAGGACATTTTGCTTCAAAAAAGGACAGGTGACAACCCTAATAAAGACCCATTATTATTATAATTAAAAAAGTACTTACATCATTATTTTCCACACTGCCAATTTCTCCGGGTATGGGTTTTTCTTTGCTTTTTTGCATAAATCTGTAGATCGCAGTTTCTGTAAGATGTTCCAGATGGCAGGTGCATATCAAAGGACAATTTATGTCTTGGTCCCATAGTCCTTCTATCTGAAAATAATGAGTCAATAAATTTATAGAAATCAGGGGCTTATATTCAGGGGGTGGGGTTAATTATCCCCCAGAAATTATAAAACTAACTTTTTATAGGTCCTTAAATGTATTATTATCAGAAATAGTCTTAAATATTACCACCACCACTACCCAGATTTAAACTATATTACCGCTAACCTAAGACTTAAACTCTGGATGCGCGCCTGGTGAAAATCTAATTGATATATTTTTATAAGCTGTTCTAATATTTGCATTAAGAGCAAACTGGATCTCTAGCGAAAGCAAAAATGTTATGAGGATTTTCTAATATAAAATTGTATTTATCGCCAACAGACAATAAAACCATGAATTACCATAGCGATTTACGGAAGTAAACAAATAATTTATCTCACTGTAAGAATACAATATTTTATCTGCCGCTAACATTTATCAACATAGCCAAGACCGTCTAATAGAAATAATCTGTAACTGATTTGTTTTGTATTTGCCGTTATTTTTCTGTTTGTTTACTTTGTTATACTAAAGTCTGATGTTATAATAGCTCCTTTTTTATTAATTACAATTATTTACAGTTCGATAAAAGTTTGTATTGACCACGTCAGCAAAGTGTCATTATCGAACTCGCCTGTTACTCGCCTCGCTCGCTTCTCTTCCTAGGCTCATAATGTCAGACTAGTTCGATATAGTATCACTTTGCTGACTTGGTACATAATTATTTATTTTATGTGCCCCACTGGAAATACTTCGCGATGTTATGTGTCTCGAGAATATTGAGAGCTTTAAATTTCTAAATAAATAAATATAAATTTTCATAGATTTATTACAGAATAGCGTGAAATTCCTTTTAAAAATTATGAAAATTAATACTTTTCGAAGGTTTAAAAAAAAATTAAAGTTTCTCTACCCTAAGTTTTATTATTGGTATTTCTTGAAAATTTTACAAAAATCAGACTAAAAATAAAGGCTAAGAACGAATTTTAATTTTTTAAGCTGTTCGGTTTGCTCTTGAGGAGGGAAAAAATAAAATAATTTTCATTAAAATGTGTAAACTTTTTTTTCTTTATCGATTGGTAAATATAAAAAAAAATAATGGTCCCAGTTTGTCCCCCCCTCCTCGCCTGTAAATAATTTAAATATTTTCATAATAATAATATTTTTAGTACATAACAATATTAATGATTTGTTGAATTCAACAGTTGACCTTGGGTTGAACGGTAGAATGTATAAAATATTGTTTGAAACAAAAGTTATAGAGAGTTTTCTGCTCTACAACTTTTCAAATAAATCCAAATGTCATTTAGAGCATAGGAAACGAGATATTTATAAAAAACAATGATTGCAAACAAATGCAAACAATGAAACAATAAATATATTGAATACTGAAATTTTGTCCTTTCTTTTACATTTTGCTCACTATGCAAGTTGTTATTTTTTGAAGAATGTATCGGGTCGTGCTAGATTCTGTGTACAACACAATTTAGATCGATCACCCTTACAGGTAAGGCGATCACTCAATTGTTGCGCACAGATTAATTGACAAAAGTTTAAAGGAATCTTGTTTGAGACGAAGTTACATAATCTAATTTTATCACTTCCCTTTCTTTATCATCATCATCATCGACTTTTAATGTATGAAATACTGGACATAGGTGAACTTAAATGTTTTTCACCTTTTTTTTTTCATTTTCATTAAAGTTTAGGTTTTATTGCTTAATAGTTTAAGATCCGAAATAAGGTTGACCTTCACCCATCTGTTTAATGGATGAAAGTTTCTTTTTATTAAATAAAATTTGTTTATAAATATACCACAAAAGGTTTGCCTAAGAAAATACGGTCCAGAGTATTTATTTTCTTAAAATAAAAAAAACGACACCCTGTAAAGTATTACCCAGATGCTTCGACTATGCCCAAACTTTAATCAGCTCACCGCAGGATAGATTAAAGCTTAAGTTTAAAATTTGGTGTTTTTCTCTTTATCCGTTTTTGAGTTGTCTTCAAAATTCGCAATTTGCACTTTTCCTTAAATATCTCGAATTGGGTCCATTTTAGGGAAATTATGTATAGATAGAAAATAATAGAGAATGACATCATAAGCAATTTTTTCCTGATTCCTATACTTTTCTTATCTGAACACAGAAAGGAAAGAAAAAAATGGCCGTGACCGTATTTTTTAGGCAACCCATTTGCGTATTTAAAAACATATTTTATCTAATAAAAAAAAAACTTTTATCCATTAAACAGATAGGTGAAGGTCGACCTTACTTATGGATCCTGGACTATAATTTTCAATCTACAAGAAATACTGTTTTCTTATTATTATTAACTATTATTTATTACTATCATTAGTTATTATTTTTGTTTATTATTAATATTATCACGTACATTTAAAATAAGTAATTTTACTTTTTATGATAACATAGTTACAATGGATCATATGAAAGGCGCATTTTTCACGTGTTATCTATTCTTTTTGATAATGTATCATACAGATATTAAATTTTTACCTTTAACTTACCTCTACGTTTAAATGTGAAAACACGAATAGCAGAGCCACATATTTAAACATTTTTGTGAAACTGTGGACAATTTCAAATATATTAATTTATGATAATGTGCAGGATGTTCACCCCACTCATTTCCTGATAATTGAAAACTTATCTGTTCTAAATAATTCATACAGGGTGTTAGAGATAAAATGTGCATCATTCTTTTAAGTGATGTAGTTGTGTCCTAAAATCAATCGTCTTTTTTTAACTAAGTATATATAAACTTCTGAGAAAAAATCCATTAAAAAAAAAAAAAAAATAAAAATTAAGTACCTATTATTAAATTATAAAATCGAATATAACAGTCGTCATTAATGAACTATTCACTGAACCACCGTAGGGAAGAAGATTATAAAAAATATTATAGCTAGATCTGATTACCTAGGTAAGATCTAGAAAACCAGCTGTGAAAAGGAATGTACACTATTTAGGTACATATTGTATTTAGTAGAATGAAAATTATCAGTTGAATATATAAAAAAAAAATTACGAAGTCGGTCACAAAAAAGGATGATTCAATGCACACATAGGCGCCGAATTTTAGTTAATTCCGAGGGGGTATTACCATGAGGCGAACTATGAACTAGGAACAGTGTTGTTTGTAATTACCTATTCTTTTATGGTCCCATTTGTTTTGTCCAATTTTTTACAATTTTAAGTTAGTTTTAGAGTTAATAAATTTGTTTCACTTTAATTAGGTGTTTTTTAATGGCTTGGGCACTTGCCATACAAGTTAAAATTACATTATTGCTATGAATACATACTGTCAATCATACATCTTTTAATTCTACGCAAAAAAAGAAAGTAAAAGAAGATAGGACAAGCAAAGAAAAAACATTCTTCTTGTCTAAGACATTTTTTACAAACAAAACTAGGCCACGGTAAGATAGGTAGGTGGTTAAACCAAATATATAAATCTGATAATTTTAAAATTATAAATTATGGTGTTTATTTTTTTTCTCTGCCGCTATTGGTTTTGGGAAAAAAATTTAAGAAAATTAAATTTTTTTTTTAAGTAAAACAAGGATTTCAAGTTATAATTTTATTTCATAAAACTTCATCTCGAAAAAAAGTTTTGATATGAAATAAAGTAAGGGTTGCTAATTTCACCCCCCTATAATGTAACAGGAATATTGAAAAAATACCCGTGGTTAGTCCTTTGCGAGCGCACGACAATTACAGAATTTCAAGTTTCTAGCTTTACTGAAATTTTAGAAAAAAATAACTCAATTTTAGTCAACACCTTTTAAGGGTGATATCTCGGAAAGGGGTGGGCTGAGGAAATTTCGTTATAGGAAAGACCCATCCTTATTTCATACGAGCAATCACCTCCTGAATTTTGTCGCATGAATTTAGAAACACCCTGTATATCAAAACTAGCCTATTTAAGGAAACCAAATCAAACCAGATAGATCAATGGTCGAATAAATTGTTATCAACTACATAAGCTGTTTTATTATACCTACTAGTTCCTGTTCATTCGATTATGAATTTTGAAGAGACTTTTTCTCTTTCTTATCTTTACTATTTGTATTTTTTGTTTGTAGATGTACCTGCTAGTGGAATGTATTTCCTAACCTATGAAGCAATTAAAGATTACCTTTCTTCTAATGGAGATAATCCACCCAGTATCTTAGCAACTATTGTTGCTGGTGGTAGCGCTGGTATTGCCAATTGGTTAGTAGGAATGCCTCCAGATGTATTGAAGAGTAGGTTACAAACAGGTATGTATTTACTCCTCTTCAACGCAATTAACCCACGATCATTTGAGTCAGTAGTACATGTTGAAATTTAAGTTATTTTTATAGTTGTACAAGCTTATTTTTAAATTGGCTATAAATATGTTGTTCACACCAAATTAAACTATAAATAATGATAGCTTTTACGTTACAAAAATTTTATTAAAGATTTTCCCCAAATTTTTTGACCTAAAGATAGAAATGGAAGCATAATTTGCAAATAATACAATACTAACGTCAATAACCGACAAAGATAAGTTGTTAATAAAAAATAAAAATGGCCCAAGGACAGAGCCCTGAGAAACGCTACAATTAATTAAACGTGTTTTTTATGGACGAGAGTTGATGACTTAACTGATATCTATCGGATAGGTAATCATTTACCAATTCTTCCTCTAAAACCATACATACCAAGCATAATATTGAGTAAAACTTTACTTAAATCATTGTAATCGACTGTAATAATTTGTAATAAATATTCCACTAAAATAAATATACTAAAATAAAACGCAGGACTGATCAAAACAACGGTTTATAATCAACTAACTCAACACAAATCATTTTCTAACAGAAACCCCAAGAGAATTATTCGGTGATTCAGCCGTTTACAAATACTTAGAACATTAAAATCTTATTGCTATCGGCAATCAGGTTCTATTCCAACCGTGCGAAGGCGTGTCATTGTCGTCAGAGCAACCTCCTTGATGTAAATATCAAGGGGAGTGAGACTAAGAATGATTTCCATCGCTCTGGTCGGTGTTGTTTTCATGGCTCCTGTTATGTTGAGACATGCTGTTCTTTGAATTTGTTCTAGTTTACGGATAGCTGTTAATTTTTGGGTTTTCGGTACCCAGACAACTGCACCGTATGTTAGCATAGGTCTTATGATAGCCGTGTAAGTCCATGCGACGACTCTGGGGGAGAAATCCCAGGTGCGCCCCACGGTTTGGCGGCATTGTTCATAAGCAATGTATGCTCTTTTAACTCTGTTTTCTAAATTTTTAGAGCTACTTGCATTCTTTTGCAGAGTATGTTCTCAAAATTCCCTGTTTGCAGAATGACCAGGTCATCTGCATATGCTATTGTGTAGTGACTGTCATTATTGAGGCGGCTGATGAGGGTGTCGAGGACCATATTCCACAGTAGAGGTGATAGCACCCCTCCCTGTGGACATCCCCTCGCAATAAAGCCTCTTATCTTCTACACTTATGTTTACTGCTCGCTTTGAGAGCATGCTATGTATTCACCCACTAACCATTTGTGGAACATTCCTATTGGTTAGTGAGTGTATTATCTTTGGGAAGGTGGTTTTATCAACAGCACCTTCTATGTCTATGAAAGCACCCAAGGCGGACTCCTTACTCCTTGTTGTCCAGGGATCTTTCTATCCGGCCAGCAACTAGATGAAGGGCTGAATCAGTAGATCTGCCTGGGGTGTATGCATGTTGGTTTGGGTGTAGTGGTGTTGTTGTAATCACCGCATCCTTTATGTACCTTTCGCATAGCCTTTCCAATGTTTTAATGGAAAACGATGTTAGACTAATTGGTCGGTATGTTTTTGGGACAGTGTAATCCATCCTTCCAGGTTTGGGTATAAATATCACTTTTACCTCTCTTAATTTTTTGGGGATATACCTCAGAGCCAACGAGGATCTGAATATACCCCCCAGATGCGGTATGAGTTCTTCCAGACCCCACTGAAGTAGGGCTGGATAGATACCGTCAGGTCCTGGCGATTTAAATTGAGAGAAGCTGGATATTGCCCTTCTAATTTTTTCATCGTCTACAATGTGTTTGGTAGTTTGTCAATCATAGACAGATGGATTGTATTCTTCCTCTGCCCAGTCGGCCACGTCTGTGATGACCGAGTCAGGGAAGTGTGTTGATAGCAGAAGTTTGATGCTATCTTCAAGGTTGGCAGTTTTCGTGCCATCCTCTTTGATTAGCGCACCAATGCTTCGGTGTGGATCTTTTGAGAGAGCTTTTTGAAGCTTCGCTGCCTGTGGGAATTCTTCGATTTCTTCGCAGTAGGATCTCCATGCATCTCTCTGTTTTTGTCTGACGATTTTTTTGTATTCTCTGAGGTGAGATTTATAAGTATCTCAGTCCTCTTTGAGTATTGTGGTTCTTGCCTTATTAAAGGATTTCCTAGCCATCTTCCTGAGGTAGTCGTCTGATCGCGTTGGACCAGCCTGAGGGGACAGGATTTCTTATAGGCATTGTTTATTGTGCTTTGGATAGTGTTCGAGTACTTCTCCAAAGCATTGTTAGTTTCGGCCTCCATCTCTCTCAGAGCCTTTTGGGGAAGGTGGGCATAGATTAGATAAGATAAGATACTTACCTACGTTTTAGATTTTATTTTTTTACTGTATTTTTATTTCATACAAGTACATACACTATCGGCCACCTATAGTGTTCCAATACGCCATGTACAGGTGCGTGTGAAAGCTACAGACAGTTGGTATTAGAGCGAGCGGGAAACTGATTGTGGCAGCATTGCCATTTATACGATGCGATCGCGTTGTAACACCTTATAGGCTGGCATCGCTGGTTTTGTTCCTTTCTTGCTCTAGTGTTAGTTCTCTGTAATTTACACACGCACTTGTGCCAATGGATGTAAAAGGTATTCGTTGGCCGATATCGTATGTACAAATACTTCATCTGTGATGAAATTGTAAAAACCTGTTAACTGTCTAAATAACATATTATTTTGTATTTCAGCTCCTGAAGGAACTTACAAAAACGGCATTAGAGACGTTTTTAAACAGCTGATGAAATCGGAGGGACCTTTAGCCTTATACAAAGGAATAACTCCTGTGTTATTAAGAGCTTTCCCCGCAAATGCGGCCTGTTTCGTAGGTTTCGAATTATGTAAACAATTTTTGGACTTTCTATTCCCAAAGAATGCAAAGACCAGTCCAGAGCAAATCAAATTTGAGAAAGAACAAAAATAGAATGACAACATAGTTTTATTATTAAAAAATTTTCATTGTTTAAATAAAAGTGGTTATGATTTAAATATTCAGGTGTGAGCATATTTTGTTTTGTGTTATATATTTTAATGGACGAATTTGGATTTGGAATACATTTAAATGAACGACTGAAATATCAGACAACAGTATTAGCAAAATTAGACATTTTTACATCTAACATTTAATTGGATATCATTAAATGAGTTTTACAAATCTAATTCATATTCGTTTATTTTAATATTGTTTCTTCCTTTTAGATTTAAATAAAATGTAAATGATTTTTTACTTATATAAAGAATTTAAAATTATGATTTTTTTTTAATTAATTACCCTCTTCATATATCAGTTGCTCCCTAGCTATAAGGGTTAACTTTTTTTTCTTAATTCCTCAGTTAATAATAATCGAATTATTCCATAAATTCACATAAATGTAGAAAATTCACATAAATGTAGAGCCGGACGGATAGTTTAAAATGACCTATGCGGCTTGCCTCTATCTTGAGCCGTTTAGTCGTTATTCACATTTAAAAATAAGTCAAATACCTTGTCGCGTTTCTGCTATCCTGATACCAAAATTTTGTAGACAAAATTGGATCTTTTCGAATTCGGAACTTTGTATCAGGATAATAGATGAGCGAGGAGATATCAAAAATATTTATTTTTGCCACAACTTTTTTAATATTGCTTTTGGAAAAAAACTGAGTATATTTTTGAGATCTACATGTGATCTTCTATCCGTATGCAAATTTAAATTGTTTTTTATTTTTTGAAAAAAATCGAAAGGGTATAGCCTTCCAAATTTTTCGACAAAAAATTTTTTTGTGTCCGATCTTGATGAAAATTGGGGTACATATAAAGGAAAGCACGAGCAATTAAGGGGTGAACTCAGTTGCTCCCTAGCTATAAGGGTTAACTTTTTTTTCTTAATTCCTCAGTTAATAATAATCGAATTATTCCATAAATTCACATAAATGTAGAGCCGGACGGATAGTTTAAAATGCCCTATGCGGCTTGCCTCTATCTTGAGCCGTTTAGTCGTTATTCACATTTAAAAATAAGTCAAATACCTTGTCGCGTTTCTGCTATCCTGATACCAAAATTTTGTAGACAAAATTGGATCTTTTCGAATTCGGAACTTTGTATCAGGATAATAGATGAGCGAGGAGATATCAAAAATTTTTATTTTTGCCACAACTTTTTTAATATTGCTTTTGGAAAAAAACTGAGTATATTTTTGAGATCTACATGTGATCTTCTATCCGTATGCAAATTTAAATTGTTTTTTATTTTTTGAAAAAAATCGAAAGGGTATAGCCTTCCAAATTTTTCGACAAAAAATTTTTTTGTGTCCGATCTTGATGAAAATTGGGGTACATATAAAGGAAAGCACGAGCAATTAAGGGGTGAACTCAGTTGCTCCCTAGCTATAAGGGTTAACTTTTTTTTCTTAATTCCTCAGTTAATAATAATCGAATTATTCCATAAATTCACATAAATGTAGAGCCGGACGGATAGTTTAAAATGCCCTATGCGGCTTGCCTCTATCTTGAGCCGTTTAGTCGTTATTCACATTTAAAAATAAGTCAAATACCTTGTCGCGTTTCTGCTATCCTGATACCAAAATTTTGTAGACAAAATTGGATCTTTTCGAATTCGGAACTTTGTATCAGGATAATAGATGAGCGAGGAGATATCAAAAATTTTTATTTTTGCCACAACTTTTTTAATATTGCTTTTGGAAAAAAACTGAGTATATTTTTGAGATCTACATGTGATCTTCTATCCGTATGCAAATTTAAATTGTTTTTTATTTTTTGAAAAAAATCGAAAGGGTATAGCCTTCCAAATTTTTCGACAAAAAATTTTTTTGTGCCCGATCTTGATGAAAATTGGGGTACATATAAAGGAAAGCACGAGCAATTAAGGGGTGAACTCAGTTGCTCCCTAGCTATAAGGGTTAACTTTTTTTTCTTAATTCCTCAGTTAATAATAATCGAATTATTCCATAAATTCACATAAATGTAGAGTCGGACGGATAGTTTAAAATGCCCTATGCGGCTTGCCTCTATCTTGAGCCGTTTAGTCGTTATTCACATTTAAAAATAAGTCAAATACCTTGTCGCGTTTCTGCTATCCTGATACCAAAATTTTGTAGACAAAATTGGATCTTTTCGAATTCGGAACTTTGTATCAGGATAATAGAAGAGCGAGGAGATATCAAAAATTTTTATTTTTGCCACAACTTTTTTAATATTGCTTTTGGAAAAAAACTGAGTATATTTTTGAGATCTACATGTGACCTTCTATCCGTATGCAAATTTAAATTGTTTTTTATTTTTTCAAAAAAATCGAAAGGGTATAGCCTTCCAAATTTTTTGACAAAAAATTTTTTTGTGTCCGATCTTGATGAAAATTGGGGTACATATAAAGGAAAGCACGAGCAATTAAGGGGTGTACTCAGTTGCTCCCTATCTATAAGGGCTAATTATTCTATAAATTTACATAAAGGTAGAGCTTGTCGGATAGTCTATAATGCACAATGCCGCTGATCCCTAGCTTGGGCCGTTTCAGAGTTATGCAAATATTATAAATTTTGTAGTTGACAGGCAACACAGAATACACTGATATGTAATATTGGTTGCCTATATTTAAAAGAGACATCTATAAGCGACTAGATAAAACAATATAGTTATAGCTATTTGCCAATAGATGGCTAAAAACTAATTATAGGCCACCAACATTACACGTTAATGTATTCTGTGTTGCCTTTTAACTACAAGTTTATATTGTAAATAACAGATAGCTTAAAAGTTAATATTTTTGATTTAGGAAATAAAAGAAAAGAATTCGATTAAGGAGATATTTATTTATGAAAAATAACAATTTAATATATAAAAGCATAAATGATATAGAAATTGTACAATATTTCAAGGAAACATACGTAATAAACAAAAAGAAACATGTTTTAAATTATAAAGAAGACAGAGTAATTACAGAATTAAGTCATGACAAACAAACAATTACATATAAATGTGCAAATAAAGTGAAGGATTATGACAAACTAAAATGGGTAATCAATTTATTTGAACTGAGAATCGACGGGATTTATCCAATAATGCTACAAAGAAGACCTGATATTTTATACAGAAGACTGCAACACTCAACATTTTTCTTTTTACTTTTTAATTCCCCAATAATAGATGATTAAAATTTTATTGAAAGGACTGGACTAATAAACATGGTACATGATTTTTATTAATATCTATTTTTACATGTATTGGTTTGGTTTACAATACTAATGTCTAAAAATTAAAAGATTTAAAAATGTCTGATTTAATATTTGTCTCTAATTCACAGACCAATGACTTTGGTATTACATACACTTTTGTAATCGTCTATTATTGAAAAATTCAAAAATGAAAAGAAAAATAGACACGCAGTTGAAAATAAAAATTTACCTGCGTGAAAGTATTTTGTTAAAATACCCTTAGAAAAATTTCAAATTTATTCCAACCTATACATCCCCACTGTATAATAAATATTTAACAACATTTTACAATAAGTCTAACAAAAACCTTTTAAAAATTTGAATCATTTTGTAATTTATATATTATAAAATAATAGACATTGGGGTCTATTCTGTTCTATTCTTTATATTTAACGGCCTTTAAAAATATTGGCGACCTTTAAAAATATGTTTGTATTCGTTAATTTACTTCTGTCCTTATTTAAACAGATTTCTTTTAGATAGTCCTCTATTGTATTTTAAAGATCCGTTTAAATAGTGACCGAATTAAAGAAGAAAATATTTTTAAAGGCCGTTAGATATAAAGGAATTTTTACAGAATAGACCCCAATATCTCAAAATGAAACAATTGACCAAATAAATCACTAGCAAGTTCTTGAATAAATTCAAGATTATGTGAAAGACTCATTTCATTTAACCCTAGAGTGCCAGTGTAAGTATATTTAATGTTTATATTTTCAAAGATCTTGTATATCTCTCTACTTTCTGCTTCAATCACAGCGACATTCTAGCTATGCTTCTTTTAGTCTGTCGATGTAATAGTGTTAAAAGCTTGTTGAGGTTTTTGTTACTTTTATAGTTCCCACATATTTCTAATTCATGTACATATGGAAACTATAAGCCGTTAACTCAAAGCAATCCATACAAAGTGGGAGGAAATTCACAATAAGAAGGATATCGAAAGTATTTTCATCTGATCTTATATCAAAAAAAAGAAAGACGAAAATAAAATGTGTGATTTGCATGAAACCTATAGGTAAGTAGGGTATAAGGTGAGCATTATAATAACAGATATCTCAAATGTCAAAAAATTGTAAAGCAATATTTTAAAATATATTAAGATTTTTAAGTGTTTTGTAACCCTTACAATATTTTTTAATGAATTGGCTCAATAATAATATAATCGTTTATATCAGAAACAACCTAGGCCACTTTTTGTCCATATTGGGCTTATCACAATAGGATTGTAGTTTTGGAGTTACACACATTTAATGCAGAAAAAACCTAACTCCCGTAAATATCCTTGACAATTTAAAATATTCAAAAGTGACTTAGGTTGTTTCTGAAATAAGTGATTCAAAATGATTTGTAAAGTTGACGTATTGCTGGCAACAAAAGACTATTGAGTAACGCTGGCAATCTAGAGTTAAAGACTTGACAATTTTAAAAAGAAAAGCTTCAATTTCGCTTCTGAGAGTACGTCTTGGATGCGTGATTTTTAATTAAAACGAAATCAGAATGTCATTTACATGAAGAGGTAACTCTGTAAAAAGCGAAACAAGCACAGTGAGTTTTATTTAATATTACAATAGAAATTTGAAGAGCAGATTGGATACCATTGAGGAAGTTATTTCTAGGTGTTGATGTTATTTCTCCAAGCTGCAGTTACACTGAATAGATAATTCTCAAATAGGCATTCAACACAATTATTTTACTGCTGGATGCTCGAATTTCTGAAATCATAAAACATTTAGTGTTAATAAGAAATATGATAAGAGAAAAAATATAAAGTTTCAGATTAAAAAGAAATCAATTGTCCTCTACAATCGTTGGTTATAATTTGAACAGATTATACTCATACCATTTACACATATTCAAGGCTTATTACATATATCCACCTAACCTGGTGGCTACCTATAGGTAGGTAGAGATATGTATTAACACTTGCA